GTAAATAGAGAATATAAGATAAATATATATATATATATATATATATTTATTTATTTATTTATTTTTATATTATATTCTCTATTTACTTCTTGTAAATTTATTTATGATAGTTATTTTTCTATTTATTTTTCACTGTTTATTTTCTTATTTTTTCTTGTTATATATATATATATATATATATATATATATATATATACACACACATACATACATATATATAAACAAGAAAAAACAAGAAAATAAACAGTGAAAATTAAATTGGTATCGAACTATTAAACAAAAAATATGGTATATTAGAAAACTATTAAGACCATCTCTAATGCAAAATGCCATTTTTGCATGTCAACTTTATATTTTGAGGAGAGTTACAGTGTCAGAATACTATATTTCACCAATTCTGCTCCAATGGTGTATTTCATCCAAAATATTATTATTTTTGCACAACAACCATTCTTTTTCAATTACCATTCTCAACTACCAATTTTCAACAACCAATATATATATATATATATATATTTTGTGAGTGTTTGTATTTTATTTAGCTTATTTGCCTCATTAAAAATAAATAAAATATAAATTATATATTTAATTATATTATTAGTAATTCTAAACCAAAAAACAAAATATTTTTAGGGCAAATCATTAAATATTTTTAGGACACATCACTCACAAATAATAAATCAACTAATTCACCACAAATCTATAATAAATCAATCATCCTTGTGCAACCAGCAAAAGTATGTCGACCCAATTAGATTATGCCATCGAAATTCAGGAATTATGAATCTTAACTGTGGATATAGAGTAAAAGAGATGAACAACTATATATATATATATGCGTGTGTATATATAGAATTTTAAGGTTATATATATAGAGAGATGAAAATAGAAATTAGAAAGTAAATGTTTTGTACAGAATTGTAGATTTGACAGCTACTATAGTTTGTATTATATTTGGTGTAAGATTTGACAAAGTTATATTTTGACAGCCCATTTGACATGGCATTGAAAATCCCATTTTAAACCCTTGTTATATTTTGAAATTAACAATCCATTTAATAGCCTATTGAAATTGCTCTAACCTAATTTTGGAAACGTAAAAAATTGGTAACTATTGTTAACTAGCAATGCATATAAGAAAAAAAAAAAAAAAAAAAAAATTATTAGGAAAGGTCACAAACTTTTGTTTGGCTTAAATAAATAACTAAAATAAATTCTAATCTTTATGGAGAGGATTAATTATCCCCTTACCAGCTATGACCAAAATAATCCTATGATTGTGAGGTTATTAATGTAATTTTGACAACACTCAGTTTCTCGTACCCTCTCGTCTTCCATTGGTTAATGTTCAAGACTCACACACTTATTTAGTCCCTAAAAGGACTTGCAGGACCTTCTATTTGAAAGGTGAATAAGTAACCAGGCTAGCTCTTGGTATATACATGGTTTTGTTCTTGTTTGATTTTTATTTTTATTTTATTATTATTTTTTTTCTCTGCTGGGTGAGTGCAATATTAAAATATTTATAAATGAACAGTATAATTTTTTATTTTTATAATACCTATTTATTAATTTGTTTTGTTGATTAGAGGGGCACCGTTATACATTTGAAGCCTCTTTTTAGGGATTAGGGGTTTAATTTAGAGCTCTACATTACCCAAGTGGAGGAGTTTAGGGTTGCAGAGAGAGAGAGAGAGAGAGAGAGAGAGAGAGAGAGAGAAGGGAGGAAGAGAGGGTTGAGGTTTAGGTTTGCTTGATGCAACACAAGCAATGTAGCTGAGGCCAGATGGTCACCTTCTAAGTAGATATGGGGATTGGCCAAATGAGAATGTGATATTGTACAATGATTGTGTGCATTGATGCTTGCCTGTACTCAACACCATGGAAATGATTTCTTGCTTCATATGTTAAAAATGGAGGGAGGAATTAAGATCATTTTAGGAAAAAATGTATTTGAAAAAACAAAAAGGTTGGAAGGTTTTTAGCATCACTGTAAGTTTGCTTTGTTTTGTTTTGTTTTTTAATTATTATTGGTCAGTGCTCCTCTCTAATTAGGGTTTATTATACTTACCTCTACCATATTTTGAATAATTATAATTACCTCCCTTTTTAGTTACATGTGCCCTAGCAATTCGAATCTTGTACATATGGTAAATATGCTCTTTAAATTATTGTAAAAAAAATACTTTTGACCGATAATTATTATGAAAAATACAATTATACTCCTAACTAAAAAAAAATTAGATTGATATAAATACTTTGAATTGTAAATTATACCCTTAACATTCTAATTGTTTCCACCCATTCTGTATATGATTGTCAGTGTAACTAATGATGCCAGTTCCATTTATCGCCTTATGAATGATAAAAACAAAATTACACTGATTGTAGTGATGACATGATATCACCAACTTATTAAATACGACATGTAATGATAAAACCTACTAAAATAAATCACTTTTACTTATGTGACAATACAATTGATTAATAACAGATAACAAAGTATGAAAGGTGTAGAAATTTTTCTCTAAATAAATGGCTTTACCTTGGTGCCAATAATAATAATATAAAAAGTTTAAGGAGAAACCGTGGAGAAATATATATGTAATGAGAATTTGCGATATAGGCCAAGCCCATTGGACCTGCTAACCTATGAAATTGGGCTCCGACCCATTTTAAACCATAAATTGGGTTTAGACCAACCTAAGCTAAAATTGGGCCCAAAAAAATGTGTTTAAAAAAGATGGCACATTTTTTTCTTCATTACATATTTTGGTTTCCTGGTTTGATGTATCTTGTTTTACACAATTTGAATGCAAAAGGCAAGTAGAAGGGCAAAGCCTCTCATCTTTTGGGAGGAAAGGAGATTTAATGAAAAGGAAGGAAAGGTGGAAAATCCAACTAAAAATCAAGATTAAAAAGAGTTTGTGATGAAGGTTACACCACATGATGACAGAAAATGATATGGATGGTCTCAATTCGACACTTGCATTGAGGGTTATATATATATAAATATATATGAAAGTTAAGGAAAATTGTATATATAATGTAATATTTACAATGAACTTCAGCTTTTGTCAAAGCCTAACTACAAATCAAAGGAAGCAGTTATAATCAAAGGTCTATAGTTGTGTAGACTTTAGAGTAGCATTTTCTATAATACTCTAAAATTGTATAGTGGTGCAATAAGTATTCTTAGATATTCTATTCGAATCTTTTAGACATACAATTCAATATGTAAAATGATTGCTCTATAAATAGGAGTGGGAGGTCATTTGTAAATACTCTCTATTATACCTAACGTACTCTATTCACCATCAAATATGTTACAACAAGCATTTGAGAATTTAAAATTTTCAAATTTAAAATTTTCCAAAGTAAAGTTGTTTATATTTTATAAAATCATATGTTAAAGTAAAAATTTGTAACGTATTTTAATTTTTTAAAGGGTCACGTAGGCAGAAAAATCGGTTTACCTCAATCTCTAAAAATAACTTTTGAAATGTTTGATCTAATTAATTTTTAATCTTATAAAAATGAAAAATAGCTATTATAAATAAATTTACAACCATTTGTGAAGTAAATAGAGAATATAAGTTAAAATTGAGATAAAGTAAAATAAAATAAATCTACGTATATATAAAAAGAAAAATAAACGGTGCAAATGAAATTGGTACCAACTGTTAAACAAAAACAATTGTATATTAGAAAACTATTAACCTAATATTGTAAAAAAATGAAAGGTATATATAAAAATAAAAAATGCTATACACTTTTTTTTTTTAAATAAAAATAATCTAACTAACAATGCATGTAAGAAATAAAAAATTTATTAACAAAAGTCACAACTTTTGTATGTCTTAAATAAATAACTAATATAAAAAGATGCGATGTTCACAAGTAATTAGGAACTTATCTAAAAAGGGATCCGTTGTATATTAGGAAACTATTAACCTATTTATTTATTTTTTTTGGAATTATACAATTGAAAAGAGTATATAAAACTAAAAATGCTATACACTTTGATATGTAGTGCTACATATAAAAAGTTATGATCACTTTAAAAAATGTTATAAAAATATGGTGTGGCCTCTTTTAAGAAATGAGTGAAACTCAAATATGGTATTGGTCAAATAAAATCACTTACCGGAAAATAAAAAAGTTCAAATAAAATCTTTATTTATATCTATACCATATGTATGTATATAAAAGATATGGCCACTTTAAAAAAGACATAAAAATATATGGTGTTCCTTCTTTTTAAAAAAATCAGTGGAACTAAAATATGGCATTGGGAAGGTGACTTGACGTGACCTCTTCAAATTCAATATTTTGAATTTTTGACAAAAAAAAAAAAAAAAAGGTACAAAATACCTAGAATTGTGGAAGTAGTAGTAGTAATAATAATACTAATGGATATAGATAATTAAAAAAAAAAGTTATAATTTAAATTATAATGAAAATGAAGGGGGAAAAACTTACGCTAATAAAAATATTTATTTATATATTTATTATTAATTTTGGACAAATTAGGGGTGTGACCGATTTATGGCTTTATGTATGGTATTACTATTTAGCCTAAATAAGTTATGTAATGGAAAGTCTAGGGTCTGTTTGGTCTACCACTAAGAAAATAATTCTGAAGAATTAAAAATAAAAAAATATGTTCCACCTTAAAAGTTTTTTTGTTATAATATTTATTATTTAGATATAAGAAATGTAAAATAAATTTCACAAAAAAAGTTTTTCATGACATCTTTCACCAATTGTTGCAAAGATAAATTGAAGACCTCTCATTTTTCTCCCAAACTAGTCGTTACTCGTTGTGTTTGTCATCCAAGTTTTAGGCCCAACAAATAGCCCCAACCCATTTTCAACCAAAAAATGCAGGCCAATTCGGATTCCTGCCCATACGAATTATGAACCCGAAACACCATATCAATATATTTGCCCCAGTTTCCATCCGCCCCAACCCGCCCGTTAGCCATACCTGTTTTCTATCGGTTCGAAGGTTCTGTTTTTTTTTTTCAAAAACCCCAATCCTAATCGTCATTGATCCGGCAATAGTTAACCGATCTTTTAGATTGTTGTAGTAATTTTCTTTATATTTCACCGATCGACCAGTCGTCAATTCGTCGTTGATCCGGCAATCGTCGCTGTTCGTCAATTTTTTTTGATTTAACTCAGGTAATGTTGGTTTCTATGATGTATGTCTCTTTTCCCCTTTGTGTTTTTATACACATCTACTTGCTAATAATTCATATTGATTGTTAGGTTTTGACTATAATTTTATAAATTTTGATTTCGGTTCACTAGTTTTCTTTCTTCTTAATGCTTGGTTACTGATTTTGTTTACCTCTTGGGGAGATGGAAATGGCTCGTGCCTCTCTTTTTTCCTGTATATTTGTAGCGTTTCCTTTGAATTTTGTGTTTGCACCTTCACTGAATTAAGTATGGGTGTCATATTTTTAGATTTTTGTTTTTGAATTCAAGTGTTCATTAGCAGAGCGGAGAGTGGAGTCTCGTATGAAGTAATCTTCGTGTTGCAGCTCTGCTGTTTGATGAAATTCCTCATAGGAAGCTAAACTCTACACTCAAATATATCCGCACACACGTAGTGGCAGCATTCTCTTTATCTATCTCTCTAATGTGGTGGCCATTGCCATAACTATTCGTCGGTCAGACAGAACTTCCAACTATCTTTCTGCTACGTACAAGTTAGTGCAGTTATTTTCCAATTATCTGAATGGCCAAACCATAGGTTTTGAACGGATTGAAATTTTGGAATTAGGTTTTTCTGCAGTTAAATAAAGCTTTATTGAATTTTAAACCCTACTCTCATCAAACTTCACCATCTCTCCACTTAATTCCAGTAAAGTTTCTTAATTCTGTTATTATTATGACCCCTAATCTGTTTGGTTAATAACAAGATTCTCAGACAACGAAATAAATGGAAGTTCCGATTTGGGAATACTATGTTTTATGTTGGTTTGGTTTGTGACTCAAAACTAATACAAATTGCCGTATTAGTATAGGGTCCTAATTATAGAAATTAACTATCAAAAAATATAGACCTTCGTTACTTTTTTTTTTTTTTTTTTTTTCACTCTTCTATAATAGGTCAAGTAACAAGAAAGATCCATGTACGTGTATGAATTTTGATGTTTTTTTTTTCATCTTTTAAAAAGGATAAATTTTTTTTAAATGTTTGGACGTATTTCAACCCCAAATAGTGATTTAGAAGCTATACCTTCACTTTGATTTATCCTTAAATGTTGATGTGGAATTATTGGTTTGATGTGGGTATTCTGTTTTGTTACCCAATGCAGCACAAATGGGGAGTGATTTGAAGACGTGGGTTTCAGACAAGTTGATCTCTCTTTTGGGATTCTCGCAGCCTACAGTTGTCCAATATGTCATTGGGTTATGTTAGTTATCTTGTTTTTATCTTTTTCATTCATATACAATTTATATGTGTATAGATTTGTATGTATTGTATTTATATATGCAAATACATAATGTTGCTACACCAGTATCGTGGGCAATGCGATTTACAGATATTGATTTTGTGGCAGCAAAGCAAGCTTCATCTCCAACTGAGTTTGTTGGCAAGCTTGTAGACATTGGATTATCATCCACAAGTGAAACTCGTGCGTTTGCAGAAGAGATTTTTGCGAAAGTTCCACATAAAGCCTCTGGGTTGAGTGTGAGTTCTAATTGGAGCATATTGCACAGCCTTACAAGTTCTGAAATAACTTAATATTTTATTTGCAATCTCAAACCTTTTTGTTCGTTGAGAAACTTACCTAATTTCGGTAGCACAATCTTGGTCTTTTTTTGGCGTGATATCAGCTTTATCAGAGAAAAGAAAGAGAGGCGGCAATGCTGGTAAGGAAGCAGAAGACTTACACAATTTTGGAGGATGATGATGATGATGGAGACGATGTTGGTGGTGGTGTTGGCAATAACTCTGTTGCAGCAGCTTCCCTGAGCAGAAAAACAGATAACCGCAAGAAACGCTTCAGGAAGAAGACTGAAAACCAAGAAGATGAAAATGATGAGGCATATTGCTTATACCCTTATTGATAGAATTCAGTTCTGTTTCTTATGGTAAGCTGCTGTATCAAAGCTTTTTGTAGTGACTCGGTACTTTTGTTTTGACTGTACTCAATGTCCCAGATAGTTGCAAATGGGGAAGGGGAAAGACGAGTTAAAAGACGGGCTTCTGAGGATGAGGATGACGATTCTGAGGTATCTTGTGTATCTAGTCTTTCTATTCTTTCAGCATGCTTTATTGTTTCTGGTCACTGTTTCAACTGAAAAGAAAAGGTAAGAGATGATAACTAATGCAATCCTGACCAATTGATTTGTTTCTGTAATATCTGTCTCTCTGCCTCTGGGGGGTAGTAGGATTGTTGTGCGATTGCTTCTGAACCCACAGTAGACTATATCACTTCTTTATTATTTTATTTGGAGCACAATATACATTTTTGCTATTCCAATTTCTGTTTAAACTTTAATGTTGGCTAACATATCTTTTGGCCGCAGTCGGAGGAAGAAAGATTGCGTGACCAAAGAGAGAGGGAGCAGTTAGAGCGCAATATAAGGGAACGGGATGCAGCTGGGACAAAGAAGGTGGACAATTTGATCTAAATTGGTGTTTTTCTTACTTCTGTTATACAGAGGCAGTTATTTTTGGGTAGTGATAGGTATTGGAAGAAATAATAACAAATTGATTTGGATATTTCTGGACCTTAACTTTTGAATTTTAAAAATATGGCCTCTCAGATTTATTAATCCCCATGCAATTTATACAGCAAGCATTCTCATTTATCATGATTACTTAAAAAAGCATACACGAGTAGACTGTAGAGTTGCCAGTTTCTTGAAATGCTGATTGAATTGTTATATCATCAAGGACATCCTTGGTTTTTGGATTTTAAATCCAAGTTTGGCGTAGGTATCAAATATGCCATGAAAACAGATCACCTTGTCCATCCAAATGCATAATGTATTCTATTCCACACCTATAGGGATTATATTATATATAACCATTGGATTAATTATGTTATGTATTAGATATTCCAGAGAGTTTGAATCTTTTTTGCTTTGCCCAAGTCCAACCATGTTGGTGTCAGAAAGAGATGCAAGTCAAAAATTTGGTTGGGCCTTGGTTTGGCATGCCTTCTACAAACTTGCTCATTCCAAGTCTTTAATTTTGCTATCTATACGTATGAGTGCGTATGCATACTTTCTGCATGCTCAATCCTGTAGCTGGCTATTACAACTATGCAATTGATGCAACTTTGTTCTCAATTCTTATGTATGTAATGATTTTCAAATATATGGTAGATACATTTATATTGTGAGTATGTATGCATACTTTTTGCATGCTCAATCCTGTAGCTGGCTATTACAATTAGGCAATTGGTGCAACTTTGTTCTGAATTCCTATGTGTGCTATTGTGCTAATGATTTTCAAATATATGGTAGATACATGTATATATATTTTGGGTTATACCCACAAAATGGCTTTTTGTCAATTTCTCCTTGACATTCTGATTTTTAATTTATGTCAACAGTTAACCGAGCCAAAATTAACCAGAAGAGAAGAAGGTAAAGTATCCTGAAAATTGTACCTCCTTGTGCTTATACATATATCTACATGTTCCTATACATGTTTATGTCTTTTTATATATTTCTGTGCTTTGGATTACTATCAATTTCATTCTTTTTGTTGCATAACAGAAGAGGCAATTCGGAGATCTAATGCTTTGGAGGAAGATGACATCAATTCTTTAAGGTTTGTTATTATATCTTTGGAACCAGGTTGCTCCCTTGTTGTGTATTTCTTGTGATTCTTTTTGGTAGTTTATTAGCCCCTTATGGAGTCCCTAGTTTTTTGTTTTTTATTTGTAAAATAAATAAACTGATTTTTGTTGAAAGTGGCAAATATTTTGCCAGATTTTAAACCAGAAAAAATCAGATTTAAAAACATTAGTAATAAAAGGATCTAGAGAATCAGTTCTGTGATAGTGAAGTTTTATGAGGTATACCAAAGGTCCTCTAGCCAAATGGTATGATCTCTCCTCCCTAAAGGGAGAGGTTGACAGTTTGAGTCTCACTAGAATATACTGTGAATAATGGGTGTGTGTTTGCTTTAACTTCCAAAAAAAAAAAAAAAAAAGTTTTATGAGGGATTGTATTTTATGGCAATTGCTGCAATACATCATTCACATGGGCTGGAGTTTTAATCCATTAAAGATTCAAACTTGGATTTGATTGGATACACTACTTTTGGAGGAGGGGTGTTGAAGCTTTGAGATATTTGTGTAGGTTTATGGCTCTTGGGCCGGATGTTATGACGATGGCATTTTTTAAATACAGTTGGAACCTGAGGAGAGAAGATGCAATTTGAGAGAAGCTAGAATGAAGGATGATGATTTAGAAGAGCTTTATCACCAAAAGTCCTTAAGTGGGAAGGCCTTTGAAAGAACTTTGTTGGAAGGAATTCAAATTAGAAAAATTGTTGGGTGAATGCATTTTTTAGAAGACTTTTTGGACTAAGAAGTCAGTTTACTCGAATGAATTATGCTTGCTGATTTGGAATAACTTGCAATTGAAGATATTACCCTTTACCTAAAAAATTACCTATATTAATTTAAATTAACAAATATAATAGAACAGTACTGTACATAAGCTCCATTCATTTTATTTTTGTTGTTTATTCACATAGTATTATGTGTCCAACATATATTAAATAAATAATAACTATATGTAAGAAAAATGTGAATATTCATTGATATACTTTGGACGTGACCAATCTTGTTAGGATTCGAATGAGAAACTGTAGAAAAAAAATAGATTAGTTGCATTTGTCCAACATTATTAGAAGCACAAGTACCCACAGTAGCTGCATTATCCCAACTTTGCAAAAGAGTTACCATCTGTAGCAGCAATAGCAATTAATGCAGTACCGTACCGTCTTCTTCAGCAGTGAACTGGACTTCCAACTTCCTGATTAATCTGTACGAGAGAAAGCAAATCAACATATTGACCACAAACATTCACACTCCGCCACTAGACCTGTGTGGGTTTGCATTATCCAATTCCAGCTGTCAATCAAGCAAGCCATATTCATAGTTTAACAAACCAAAAAAGTGTGAATTCAATGCTACTATATGTGCATAATAATTCTTCTTCTTCATTTTGTTTTTTGGGGAAATCATTAAATAAAAAAATTAAGAAACTAGGAATGATCATCAACGTCAAAAACTGTAAAACAGAATAATTCAGGGATCTCAAGAAGGGTCACGATCTTTTGAGATCACGAAATGTGCATCTAAATAACTAGTTGTTATAGACTATTATGACGAACTACCATCGGCTACCTTAGGTGATCAGCGCCACCACTAACCCATCTCTGCAATGATTTGTTTGATGCATCCTCCTCAATTCCACTCCTTTTGTCATGAGGACTCTGACCACCCACTTAACCTACACCTTAAACACCCCTCTAGTTGCCTTTATGTCTTTTGTCGAAGTAGCATCAATAGTAACAAACCGCAACGATCATCATTTGAAATATGTCACATGAGTGATTTACTGACTTTGCAATGGGTTTTGTTCGAAATGATTGAAGAATTGGAGTTCCTAAATGCCCGTTTATTTGTATCACCAAACACCTACATTTTTCAAAAAGCATTCTAGGGCTTGAAATCCCTTTAAGAGTCTCCAAAAGCTCCGCCAAACACAACCCCTCTTTCGTTGCTTTGATTCCTAAAAGAAAGGAGGAGTGTTGATATAAAATAGTTAGGCCAATAAGCTAGGTGGAAAATGGTTCTTCAGATGCTCATCTATTTTTTGGTTAGGCAATTTTTGTGTGGTGCTTGTGGCAGATGAGTGTTGGATTATAGAATGAGAAGCAGTGGGCTGACATGCTGAAAAATCATTTGCAAACTTGGCATTGAAGTGTGCATGTTCATTTGGGTTTTTTTTGATGATGTGTGGTGAAGCGGATGAGATTTGGCATAGGTGGAGGAGTGAAGCCATGCTTGTTTATGATCAGCGACTTTTATCTTATATCCTTTGATTGGTACTTATGGATTATTTGGCAAGTTGATCCATATCCTGCCCTTCTTAGTAACAGATACTAGGAAGTTGGCTAGTTGGGGGGGGGGGGGGGGGGGGGGGGGGGGGTGGGTGTGTGGGATTGGTGTTTCTGTTGGTGAATCTAGTGGTTTGTGAATCTCCATGTCTTATCATAGTTATACTGACAATTATTTTTTTGTGAGGCTGTTAAAGAGAAGTTGGGATATACTCCACGTGCTTTGGTGTTTCAATGTTAATCAGTCTCTGAAAGTAAATTTGGAGAAAGTGAGCTTATTCCCTGTTGGGTGATGAAGATTTTAGAGCGTCTGGTGGCTAATTCGGTTTCCCCTTGGGATGAGATAATGAAACTGAAATACTTATATAAAAAAGATAATGAAACTGAAATGTGTCTTATTTGGCATTGTATTGAGCAGAGAGAAAATTGTTTGAAGGAGATTCTGTCTTGAACATGTTTTTTCCCCTTGTTCTTTGGTTGAGAGCCTCTCATCTGGTCTCTCCCACTGTTTTCTGCTTCAACTAAACCATAATACTATTTAAAGTTAAGTTATTGTATATGTGAAAAAAAAAATTTCTTCTCTAATCTTGCAGTAGGATTTACCTGTCAACTTGTGTACTATGATATAATATCCTAGTGTTTGGTCCACCAAACAGGCCTTATGGAGAATGTGGTATACCAAAGATGAGCCTAATGATGGTAACGTTTCTTTATTACTGTAGAGTACAGCGAATTGAGCATTTGCATTTATGTAATTTTAGATGTCACTCTGGTTAAAAGTTTTAGCTAGTACTAGATGACTGATGCTAAAAACAGATCCTTATCTTCAAACTGTGGCTGCAGATTCTCATTCTCTGCTGTTTGCCTTGGTTGGCTTTTTACTACTTGTTTGGACTGGTGAAATGTTCTTAGGTATATCTACTGAAGCCTAAACTTGTTATTTGTTTTATTTTTTTGTTTCAGAAAAGTTTCAAGGCGAGAATACTTGAAGAAAAGGGAGCACAAGAAACTGGAGGAGATCAGGTATATTACTAAAAGTAGTTTAGTTTACTATTACCTTGAAGTTTAGTTTTTCTTGTTACCAAAAGTAGAAAAAAAAGTCTAGTTGCTGTTTTTTCTGCCGATATGTTTTCTAGGTCTCTTTTTGGTTAATTTTCCTTCATTCTCATTAAATTTACCTGGTAATTTCAGAGATGATATAGAAGATGAACAGTATCTATTTCAGGGCGTTGACTTGACTGAAGTAGAACGTCGTGAGCTGAGGTAATTATATCTTACATTGCTTGAGTATATATCTTCAATTTTCAAAAAGTAGCTGGACCTTTATGAACTATTAACCTCATGTTTGCTGTAGGGTTTAATATAGCAGTTTTGTTTTCATCCCTTATAATATTTTTTTAATAAAAGTTCTACGTTATTTTTTAATTGGTGGTCAAATGAATGAAAATGATTGTTATTATTATTATTTTTGTAAAAGTAAACTGCGGTTATTTGTGGTCAATGTTTAGAATATGATTTTTCTCATGCAAGTTTGTGCTGCCTTTTGACTCGTAGCAATTATTTAATTTTTCTTGAAAACATGAGGAAAAAGATTGCTGCACTAGAAAATAATGAGATACACTCTTTTTTCATTTATTTATCATTCTATTGCCGCTGTTGGTGAGGACTCAACCACAATGTTAGCTATATAATAATTTTACAAGTGCTGTCATTTGACACCTTATTAAACTTCTTCTAGGAGCCTGGTTTTGTTTGCTCTCTTATTGTCGCTAGACTTAAATCCTAGTTTGTAATATATGAAAGGTAAATCTGCTATGTCATGGGATCATTAAAAGTTTGTGATGGTTTTATATTCTGGCAGATACAAGAAAGAAATATATGAGCTTGTTAAGAAGCGATCTGAAGAGGCTGATGATGTTGCCGAGGTATACAATTTTCATTTGTTTCATTTTTGTTCGAAGGCATGATGGAAGAGTCATTTTATTTATTGATATGTCCAATTAATTTTTGTAGTATTAACTGTGTTGTATTTGGAGTATAATTGTTATTTGTTTATATTTTCCATTCAATAGTGCTTGTAGTCAGAATTTGATTTCTCATTTTTATGGAGTATTTGTTTCTTGATTCTCTATCAGCATCTTATTCAGTGTTATCAAAGGCCCAAAGCGCACTAGGCGCTAGAAGTCCTTGAGAGCCTAGGCGCAAGGCGAGGCATGTGCCTGAGAGAATTGCTTTAACAACACTGATCATATTAATTATTGCTTATTTTGGTTCCTCTTTTTGCCTCTCTATATAGATATTGTAAAAGTAATTGACAAAGAAAAATCATTTCCTTTGTAATATTTACTTCTTTTAACTCTTTAGAGATTTTATCGTCCCTGATTCAAAGTTTTCACATCTCCATCAATTGTCTTGTTTTCCAACTTCCTTGAAGGATGGGCATAGTTGTTAAAGGAGTATTTAGGCTTTCATTAAGGGTCACCGAAGTGCCTTAACATATTACATGCGAGGCTTCTTTAGTCAAGCTTGTATAAAATCCTCAGGCACTCAGATTTTGATAGGCTCCCAGGTTTATAAAATTAAATAAGTAAAAGGTGTCTTCCCCCCCCCCCCCCCCCCCCCCCCCCCCCCCCCCCCCCCCCCAAAAAAAATCAAAATTTTATTATACTATACTTTATTTTATATTAACTTTGGCAAGGAACTCACACACCCACTTTGCCCCTATGGGGGCTTGAACCCTCAACTTTATACTTCGGTAGGTGTGGAAGTGCCACTAGGCTGTAGTCCTTGGTGGTCTTGTTAATCACCTTCTCTTTTTCTTTAATTGTTGTTAAATGATATGCTTTATACCATGTTATATATGGCATGGTAGATAGATTATATTGTTATATCTTATTGAAGTTTAAGCAACCCGGTTCTTGTGGCCGAATTAAAAGTCTAAGTGATGCTTAAGCCAAATTACTGAAGTACCCTTCACGATGATCATGGTTGGGGACAGGACATGACTTGGAAGCAAAGAGAGAAAAAGCAGACACAGATCAAGACATCAGGCCTGCTTTTGTCGTCAAGTGGCCCAACTGAAATGACCCCCACCCTTAGCTCCTTGGGACAATTCCGAAATTACTAATTCCATAAAAGGGCAATATTGGCATCACAATAAGTCATGGCCGAAATGTAATACTAGGTAAATGAAAAGGACATTTTGGTCAAATTACCCTCACAATAGGTGTACTGTGATATTTAGGCATAGTTGTTAAAGGAGTATTTAGGGTCTCATTAAGGCTCACCGAAGTTCCTTATCATATTACATGCTAGGCTTCTTTAGTCAAGCTTGTATAAAGTTCTCAGGCACTCAGATTTTGATAGGCTCCAGGTTTATAATAATAAATAAATAAAAGGTGTCTCCTCCGTCCTTTTAATCAAAATTTTATTATATTATACTTTATTTTATTTCAAATTTGGCAAGAAACTCACACACCCACTTTGCGCCTATGGGGACTTGAACCCTCAACTTTCTATGTTGGAAGGTGTGGAAGTCCCGCTAGGCTGTAGTCCTTGGTGGTCTTTTTAATCACCTTCTCTTTTTCTTTAATTGTCGTTAAATGATATGCTTTATACCATGTTATATATTGCATGGTGGATAAATGATAAATCATATCGTTTTATCTTATTGGATATTTGATTTTCATAATTTATAAGCTCATTAGTAACTATTTGCATTGTTTTTGGTTCCTAATTCTGATTATTAATGCTTATATATACTTAAAATGTATAAATTTTAGCCTTTTATATATATGTATATATTTTTTATAAACATATGTTATTTAGTTTATGTGTATGCATATTGAAACTATATGTTGGGGGGCTGTTGGAATCTTTGTTTTGTGCAATGTTTAAAAGCTTGGGCCGACAAGTGTGCAGGCCAGGAGATTGAGTTAAAGAGTAGGCACTTCGCACAAAATTATGTTAAAGGTTAGATTTGTATTTAACCTTCCCCTCTAATGAACCATGCAGGTAGGACTAACATTTGGTAGTGGTCTTCTATCAGAGGGTGGTGAGGGTGGTGTTTGCCTGCACTGTGTTGTCACAGTGGATAGTTTGAAAGGAGTTCCAATGCCTTCTGTATCACGCTCATTGTCAAAATGGAGGGCTAGTTGTCACCAGTTCATTGAATCTTGCTTTGAATTTAGAGCATGTTGCAACCAACATTTATTAGCTTTATTGGGCTACTCTAAAAGGAGCCACGGGGGGTTCTAGTCTTTTGGATCACACATGTTCAAATAAACGAGAAAAAGAACTGGAAATTGTTTAAGGGGCAAACATTTGACATTCCATCTGAGAGAGAGTAGTTTCAGGGGCAATCAATTTGACATAACTGGGAACATGTTGATCTATAGAATTCACAATTGGTTAGAAAGAGGTAACTGGATTTTTGGAGGATACTTTTCTTCTACATTAAAATTTAGAATGTTGGATGAGGTCTTAAATAAAGCCACCTTCTAGATTTGATCGCTCACCATTTATAATTTCATGAATGGGGTGTGTTTAGACATCACTTTAAACTTGGAGAGCCGCACTACATTCCTATGGAAGTTTGAGTGAACTTTGCCATTAAGAAAATGGGAAGTTCACCATGCTTTATGTCGTGGATCATTTTATGTTTGGTTGAAATGACAAATCAAGATTTTTGATATTATTTGTGATATAGGTGCCATTTTCTTTAACAGCTTTATTCTAGGTGAACACTTAAATGCTATGTAAATTTTGATGGAGATCTTCATCTTCAAGGGAATGTTGAACATGCCAATAAGTGTTCTATTAGCAAAAAGACAAGCAAATCTTTAACTTATCAAAAAAAAAAAAAAAAAAAGACAAGCAAATCTTTAAAAGTTTGTGTTCCAAAAGGATAAATAAAACTTGATGATTATCATCTATTTTCAGTCAAAGGCAAATCCATTACAAACAAATGAAAAATAAAAGCACTTACCAAAATAAATAAACAAAAAGAAGGGCTAGTGTACTACTTAAAATTGTCAAGGATGGGATCTGCCAAATTTTGTGGGGGTACATCTGTGGTCTAGACACCATCAAATATCAACAGATTACGACATTTGAATTTTTTTTTTTTTTTTTGCTGAAAATCACAATGGATTTCAGTGTTTGGTCGGGGGGAAATGATGTTAGGGTCAAAAATAGTAGGATATAACTGGAGCTACTATTGAAGAAGCAAAGTTAGTGGTAGCAGGGGAAGAGTTCTAGACAGCAAAGATGAAACAAAGGCAGAAATGATGGGAGAGAGAATTGCAGGATGCTTGTATGCTTGAGTCATTTGGAGCATATTGTCACGGGCCTAGAGACTTGGCGCAGCGGCACGGCCCGTGCGGCACTAAGGCGTTGCTTCAGCTCGCGCAAGCGCCCTAGTCAACCACCACGACTTGCCCTCCTAAGGATACATGCTGACTGGTTTCGACTTGCCTTGGTCTCATCAGGGGAACGGCTCCAGCTCCCGACCAGTTTGTGCAGGGATGGCTAACTCCCTTCTTCATAGTCAAGTCCACGACCAGCGACAAGCTCCTCGCACTTAACCGAGTCGACCTGCCTGAACTTTGAAGAGGTACCATCCTGTGCTCCTGCACGCCCCTTCCCTGGAACCATTCCCAGTCAAACTCTGCTCTTTGCCAACCAGCATGCGTGTCTTCCATCCTCCAAGCGTCTTAGGAATCACTTCGTGACACTCTCCCCCACCCAAATCCTGCGACACCCTCGTCGCAGTGCGGCGCTTCACTACTGCGTCCACTCCCTTCCAAAGTCTGCCTCCAAGCGGTATGCTCGCCTTCCCACCATCGCTTCCTTGTGCAGCTCCCTGCACTGCACTCGCCCAATGATAGGCCTCGGACCAAGGGGACGTCCACTCCTCAAGGACGTGACTCTTCTCCGTCATGCCGCCTCCGCGATATCCCGAGCAAGCAAAGGCCTCCTGTCGACTTGATGCTCGCCCTTCATCACGGTTTGCATCACCCAAGGAGCTCGCACGAACTTTGGTGCGCGCGGCCCTCCGGCCCTCCAATGCGCAACTTCAACGGACGCCTCTTCTTGGGGAGATGAAGGTTTTCCCCCCAACTGCATTGATTCCTCCTCATCGACGCAACTTCAGTGCACCGTCTTCATTCTCAGACCCCTCCCGGACCGTCAAGGGGGCACCCCACTGTGCTTTACCCCAAGTCCTGCTCTGATACCATTTGTCACGGGCCTAGAGATTTGGCGCAGCGGCACGCCCCGTGCGGCACCAAGGCGTTGCTTCAGCTCACGCAAGCGCCCTAGTCAGCCACCACGACCTACCCTCCCAAGGATACATGCTGACTAGTTTCGACCTGCCTTGGTCTCATCAGGGAAACGGCTCTAGCTCCTGACCAGTTTGTGCAGGGATGGCCAACTCCCTTCTTCATAGTCAAGTCCACGACCAGCGACAAGCTCCTCGCACTTAACCGAGTCGACCTACTTGAACTCTGAAGAGGTACTATCCTGTGCTCCTACACGCCCCTTCTCTGGAACCATTCCCAGTCAAACTATGCTCTTTGCCAACCAGCATGTGTGTCTTCCATCCTCCAAGCGTCTTAGGAATCACTTCGTGACAATATGCTATGTTATTCAGTGGCATAACTAAAAGTGTGAGATTTGAATGATAAATTCATGAAATAACAAGTGTTGCTTTTCTTATCAATATTGAAATTTCTGATAGAGCATGACATAATTTGGAAGAAGTATCTGATGAAACAAGATATTGCTGCTGTCACATAGACTTTAATTAAGCTTGCATAATGAGGCAATCATCGTAAAGACTTATATTAAGAAATGATTCCCGGAGCACTAAATTGAAGCCATGGCTCTAAATGATTAATTGATCAACTTTTACGATATCCATATTTCATGCATCTATTCTTTTTGTTATTTTCCTATGTTCTCAAGTAGATACTTAATACACTTATTTTCTTCCCGGAATGCAGTATAGGATGCCCGATGCGTATGATGAGGAAGGGGGTGTCAATCAAGAGGGGAGGTTTTCTGTGGCTATGCAGCGTTACAGGTCAGTCATTTGCAAAGGAAGGGTGCAGTAGATGATTCTCACTACTACAACAGTTGCCAACACATGTGCATGCACGTCCTACACAAATTACCATTATTTCCGCTCAACTTATCATCGTCTTTTGCCTTCCAGGGACCCGAGTGCTGCAGATAAAATGAACCCGTTTGCAGAACAAGAAGCGTGGGAGGAGCATCAGATTGGTAAATATTGGTTCTATGTCGTGGTATTCTATAACTTAGCATGACTGTTAATTTTCAATATTCTAATTTTGAAATTTTCATTGCAGGAAAGGCAACTCTCAAGTTTGGTTCAAAAAATAGAAAGCAAATAGCTGATGATTATCAGTAAGTTTTATGTGGTTGCTGCGTTCTTTGTTTATGCTTAATTAAAAATGTTGCTTGTGCTCATCGCCTTGATAATTTATGTGAATCTATACATATTGGATTTGTTCATGGTTGTGTTTTTACTATCTTAGTTTGTTTGTCTCAGATATAATGAAAAATAACCAGATGGTTTTGTCTATGCTCAAATATGTATGAGCACATTTTTTTCAGCAATTCATGGATTTGTTCTTTCATAGGTTCGTGTTTGAAGACCAGATTGAGTTCATAAAGGCATCGGTCATGGATGGTGCTAATGTATGTATGACAATTGTGTTCATTGTAGAGTCTACATGTTTTCTCGGTTTCTCACTGTAGTCTTCATCTAAGATTCTCTCTCTCCTATGTGCAGTTTGAAGATAAGTTGTCCACCGAGTCAATTGAAAAATCTATGGCAAAATCAGCGTTTATGAACCTTCAGGTATGTTTTATTTTGATGTCTATAATTGCATAATTTAAGACCTGGGAAACAATAGAGATCAACAATATACTAACTGTAATATATAATATAGGAAGTATACACTTAGTGGAGTAGTTTAAGTTTAGGCCCTCAACAGATTCTATTTAGTCTTAATTAGGCATTCAATAGATTCATCTAGTCTTAAGTTAATAAGTTTTGGCCCTCAATGGAATTGTATCAGTAGATACACTTTTTGCACATAAAAGTGTCACCAAAACTTATGATTTTATTTGTATTCTTCTTGTGATTGCTACTCAGTCAGATATGTAGCATTATGCACAAAATATGGGAAAACCTCATAAAAAAATTGATGTGAGAGAATAATTTTGAATAGAGAGTTCTGAATACTGTGTTATATCTGGATTTTGAAATAATAATAATAGTAATAGTATTAATAATAAGAATTTAAAAGATGTCAATAAATAATGAAGCAGGAAATTCAGATTTTCCTGAAATAATTTTTCAGGATTTTCTGTGATACAAAGACATCGAAAGTGATGATATTAGATCATGGTTAATTTTTAAACTGGTTAACTAAATCTTTACCTTGTGAGTTCTATCATAGAAAATGAAAATTTGTAGTTCTTACTTGTGTTTTGCTTTTCATTTTTTTTTTTGGCTCCTCCAGGATGAGAGAAAGACTTTACCCATCTATCCATATCGCGATGAGTTACTCAAAGCTGTTGAGGATCATCAGGTTATCAGAATTTCCTGCCTCACTTGCATTTTCTCATGTTGTCCTTGAGAAATTTCTTTGGATACAGAGGGCTGTGAAGAGAATTTCTTCGTACTTGCTGTTGATAAATTACACCTACTTTTTTTTTTTTTTAAATAAAAATAAAAATTTTTATTCCGTGAATTAAGCGTAATAGCTTATTCCTGTGGGATATGTTTTTGATTAATTGCTTTTGTAGGTCCTTGTCATTGTTGGAGAGACGGGTTCTGGAAAGACTACTCAGATACCCCAATATCTTCATGAGGCTGGGTACACAAAGCGTGGAAAGGTAGGAACTTTCTTCCTTTTTATGGTGTTCCTATTGATAGATTGGCATGAAAATTTTGTATGTGCTTTTCTTGTCCATTGCTATTTCTGTCACTTGTAAAAACTTGGGCGAGGTGATTGTCAGTATTTATATGAGTTGAGATTATTCCTCTTTTGGTAATATTTGGCAGCAAGAATAGACCAAAGCCTCTGTGCTATCATTTTTTTTTTTGGTGAAAGATAGCACTATATTAATTTTATAGATATAAATTCAAAATAGAAAAAATTAGTGAATCAGATTCTCATAATTTAAGTTAATAAAATAGTTGAATAGAATGAAGTGCTCAGAAACTTCCATTGAATGTAGAAAGTTGTTTTATGTATCACTAATACACTGAAATATGATGAACAATTCAGAGAAAGAAAACACAATTTTAAGAGGAGTGGAAGCATGGGACTTGCCTACTTGAGGTTTCCACATGGTGAAAATTATTTAATTACTCTAATTCTCCTAACGCCCCAAGTAGTCTGGGAATATTTTTGAAGTGAGGGTTGTGTAGTTTTACTTAAAGTTCTAACATTTTAAGGACCTTACCAGCTTCATTAGCATCTCACAAGCTATTTTGAATGCCATCTGAAAAATCCAATAGACATGGTTGGCAATTTAAGTGTAGTCTATGCATCCTGTCTCCCTTTTGATTGAGTACAAATCTGTGTCATTGAATGCCATTTAGTGGTAATCAGTTGTACACCATTTAGAATTCCCTACCGATTTACTTGCCACATGGGAGAAAATGCTTCAAAGATTGAATTTTTTTTGCATTTCCTTAACTTGGATATTTGGCTTTGGCTTAGGCAAGGGGGAGGCAAGATTACCAGAAAATTCCTAAATGCTTTCCGAAACCATCTCTTGTCAAAAGTCATCTCTAGTTCTTCATGAGTATATTTTAAAAGTCAGAGAAACAAGTTCCCATTCATTTGACGGGGTTCTGAACTTTGATTTCCAAATTTAGTTTTATGATTTCCAAACTTTGCAAAGTATTGTCACAGATTTTTCTGATTGGAAATTTCTTTTATGATTCTCTAGTACCGAAAAGGTTGGGAATTAGCTTTTAGTTCCTTTTAAGGTATATCAATTCAATGGATTAGCTATATCAATGTGCATAATTTCTTTTATGATTCTCTAGTTCTTCAGTATATCAATTCAATGGATTAGCTATATCAATGTGCATAATTTCTTTTCGATTTGCATATACTTTAAGTTAAACCAATATATTATCGAAACAATTCAGAATATGCATTTCCAAAAACTTAAAATGGATTTTTTGGCAAATCAACTAAGAGGGTCTGTTAAGTCGACGCATATATATTTTTTCAAAATGCATATGCATCAACTAGAAAGTCTTAGATTTTGGTCATAAACTATATTATCATAAATATTCAAATAAAGCACTAGACACAATTAATTTCCGTATTGAACAATACCTGACCATATGAAACAAGATGATTTATTGAACATAGGAGTGCTATGATATAAGGCATGTCAGTTAATAACCATAAAAAAACAAAGACATGCTTTTCTCGCATAGAGTCTGCTAAAAGAGCACGCATCTGACGGCATATTGTACGTGTAACTGAAGGAGGCCTTAAGTAGGTCGAGGTGCCTTTCATTGAGCCTTGAGGAGTGTCAGAATTTTTTGGGCCTAGGCATGGCTTTAGTAAATTTTCATTAGCCATTCATTGACCGCAACGTTTCAAAATAAAAGTTCTTATTACAGGAGCTTAGCCTTACACGCTTCAGCTTCAACATGGCAGCTTGATGCCGTATAAGGGAATGCCATTTTAGATGTGCCACCATACACAATGCAAAGTTTCCTGGCACACTGATCTAACTTTTATTCTCTACCTTATATGGGCTATTCTAAATGCGCATAGCATGTAACTGGTACCAGATGTGCCAAGCATGTCCTGTTTGACAAGTACATACTACATTCATCATATAATAAATAACGGAATGAACTCCAGAGTGGAAAAGAGAAGGGCGCGCCTACATCTCCTTAGCAACTTAGGATGCATCGATAGATGTTTCACCTCTCTCCATCCCTTTACACATGCAATTCTATTTAATATTAAAGCTCTTTACAAAGCTATGAATGATGTGGTTCATTTGCATCAGACTTATCGGTCAACATTGGGGAGATAGGACGATCTCCATCTCTCATTACGCTGTAAGAAGACGGCATTTCAAGTTTTTCACCCCTTCACACCACCCGACTCACGATATCCTTTACCAGATTCACCCATGTAAGTATAGAGTAACAAAGAAGCCATCAAATACCTCCACCTTCTAATCCTGTAATGCATTTAAATGGATATTCCTACCCATCCTTCTTCCATAACCCTTACACAATCTGTAACAAGGCCCTCACTCTCCATTGCAACCCTAAAGAGGCACATGAAGATCTAGTAAGAAGGCGTCCTTGCAGTAGTGGTCATACCAAATCTTACTCGCCAACAAATTTGCGTCACGAACCTAATGTGCTTCGATTACTCGTCTAACCGTTTCCTAGTACTGTTTCATATACTCTAGGATATACAAGCCTCTTTATTCTCCAAGTAGTTTTCCCTCTCATTTGTCAGACTTCCTCTCAGTCTCTCTACTTAGAAGGCTATTACTATCTTGCACGCGTACATATCCATTTTCCCAATTGAACCGGGTAGAATAACTATTTCATTCCTTATATTGTGAAGCTTTTGGTAACTATTTGAATATTTCTTATAGAATTGTGGATTCAATCCAACTTTTGTTGAGATGTTAGAAAACGTCATCTTTGTTATACACTATTTCTTCATCTTCCCTAACTTTTGGTCAGGCTCTTTGTTGTTTCCCTTTTAGGCAAACAACTTTTCCTCTTTTAACCGTTGCATCATCGTCTCTACATCGAATATGGCCGTTCTACCTTAAGTCTACTTTCCCTAATGTTTCCCTCACACTTTCATTATGTATCTTATCTCTTCTAGTTACTCCTATCGTCCAATGTAGTATCCTCATTTCTGCTACATGAATGCATTGAGCTTGTTGTATTTTTCAAAGCCCAACACTCTGCTCATACAACATTGCTTGCCTAACTGATCTATTGAAATTTCCTTTTAATTTATTTGGTATTCGTTTGTCACAAAGGACACCACTAGATATTAGAAAACGTGATTGAATCTAGTTGTTAATTGTTGGAGTGCTCATCATTGAAGTACTCAAAAACATATCCACCACGATTCAGATAAAATAAAAGGTTACTGCCAGTGTTTGTCCCACTTTTGCGTGGTTTTGGGAGGAGAAGATTGGACAAAATCTTTTTTTTTTTTGATAAGTAAAAATTCATTAAAGGCCCTCAAAAGGGGAGCGATCCCAAGAGAATACACAAGCCGTGACGCTATAACTTTAAGCTATCCAAAAAATCCAAAAGACTATCCGTAGATATACAATTTTGCCCATTCACCCAAAAGAGTAAAGAAGACAATATATTATATTTGAGAGCAAATAGGAGACTACTCCCCATTGACGGATCTCCTATTTCTCTCATGCCACAGCCTCCACCATAGACATAGAGGAGTGGCCCTCCAAGCATCTCGAACTCGGCTTTCCAAGCCTCAAGCAAATCAACCGTGGACTCAGGAAATACCCCAGCCAATCCAAAAGCAACCAAGAACATATCCCAAATATCCCTTGCCACAGGGCAGTGAAGCAAAAGATGGTTCATAGACTCCCCCGACTTCTTACACATGCAACACCAACTCACCACCACCTGATGTCTCCTTCTGAGATTATCACAAGTGAGGATGCTTCCAAGGGCAGCGGTCCATGCAAAGAAAGCCACTTTCAAAGGGGCTTTTGTCCTCCAGATAGCTTTCCAAGGAAAAGGTTGGCCATGGATCTCCATCAGCCTTTGGTAAAACAATCTAACCTCAAACATCCCTCTCGAGGAGACCTCCCACACCATCTCATCCATGCCCACACCCTCCACCACCTGGTTATACAACAATGCAAGGAAATGAGTGACCTCCAAAAGCTCCCAATCATGGAACTCTTTGTGAAATTGCACATCCCAAGTTACTCTTGCATTATCAAGCCTAAAACAGTCAGCAACTACAGCATGCTTGTTCTCTGCAAAATTAATCTTTGGCATTATTTTGCACAAAGTGGCTGCTCTCAGATTTGAAGTAAATCTTTAGTGTTGTCAGCTTGAGCAATTTCCACTACACTAGGCAATGACCCTCTACCATGGTCCACCTAAAATGCTAAATCTAATGTTTAAAATGAACACATCTTATTGTAGATGAACAATGCTAATGTAAAAGTGAAAATGGTTTGGAGATGTCAAGGGACAATATATATGAAAAAAGTTATATGAACCAAAGTATTTTGATTTGATTTGTATTTGCCAACTATCTAATTGCACTTTTGCATGCTAGCACTGTAAGAACAATCTTGAAGAACTATAAAATTTGCCAAAAGAGAATTGCTAGCCATATGTTGATGTTACATAGCGTAACATGTTTCGAAATGTAGTATATATAGTTGGTACTTACATTTTTTTGTTTTTTTTTATATGAAATTATCCTTTTAATATTTAATAAATGTTAAGAAATTATTTAATTGTAAACTTCTATTGGTTTTGAATCTCCAATTCATGCATTTCTACCATTTGTAAAATTAAGAGATCAAATCTTCATTCTACAACCATCCAGAGGAAATGACATAGAGGGAGAACAACCAGTCATCAATTGAATCTTATGTCTTTTGCACTAACTGCTCATGAAAAAGTAGTAGTTCTTTGGTATTGTAACATGTTAAATATCTTCCATATTGATTTATAACATTCTGATGCAATCATGTATCCCGTTTAATTGATACTGTGACTTATAGAAGGTTTGGAAGGCTATATCATCACTCCAACATGTGGGAACCCATTCTTTCTGGTATTGAAAATATCATGTGGTCAGTCAGGAGGTTATATTATCTTAGTTTGCTTTCTCACAGGTTGGATGTACTCAGCCACGGCGAGTTGCTGCTATGAGTGTTGCTGCTCGAGTTTCTCAAGAAATGGGTGTCAAACTTGGGCATGAGGTATGCCATTTGCTTATAATTTATTGGCTATTGTGGATGATCTCTCTGTTGTCGCCTTGTTTGTAATTCATTCAGTGATGTCAGTTTCAAATTTTAAATGAGACGTGCCTTTTGCATTGGTTGCTATAAACTTGTATAGTTAAATGTTGATGTAGATATTGCTGCTCTCACTAATCTCCCTGAGATTCTGCACCATTTAATAATGTTGATTTGGAGTATTTGAGACTTCTTTCATGGAATATTGTAGATCGAGTGATCAGAATGACTTAAATTTCGAATTTTATTACAGGATTTTGCATGGATCATTTATTTAGTTGCTTGATGGTATTAAAATTTGCATTAGATTTTGCTTCTACTATCATATTTCTGGCATTTTTTTATTGCTAGCTTGGGGTCTTGTTCTGCCAGATAGGCAATTTAATGATTATCATGTCTACTTTTAGGTTGGTTACTCTATTCGTTTTGAAGATTGCACTTCAGAAAAGACGATTCTGAAATATATGACTGATGGAATGTTATTGCGAGAGTTCCTTGGCGAGCCTGATCTGGCAAGCTACAGGTATGCTCTGTTTTAGAGCTTGTGCAATGGTTCTGTTCCTGAGCTATGTAACCTTTACTCATTATTTCTGCAAAATTTTCAGTGTGGTGATGGTGGACGAAGCTCACGAAAGAACACTCTCGACCGATATTTTGTTCGGTTTAGTAAAGGCAAGTAGAAACCTTTCTGCTGCAGAGAATTTTGTTTTTTGAAGTTTTCTGTTGAAGAAATGTAAAGTCATTGAGTTCTACTTAATTGTTTCATTTAATTAATTAAAAATGACACTCCTGCACTTGGAGTGGCAATGCCCATCTTTTTTGGGAAAAAGAGGAGGGGGAAGGGGGTGGGTGGAGCCATGACCATACTAGTGTAGATGTTGATGTTTGCAGCAATGTTACAGGGATCACTTAGGTCTGGGATCTATCACATCATTGAATCAGACACCCCAAACCTCCCTTTCTTCTCATTGTTGCATGTACTGGAAGCCTTTGCTTTTAAGTAAATTGGTGCATGCCTTTTTCTTTTTTAGAATAATTGTAATTCTGTTACTTTTTACTGATTTTCTGACTCAAATGCTTCTTTGCAATAGGATATTGCCCGGTTTCGTAAAGATCTAAAGTTGCTCATCTCAAGTGCGACTCTTGATGCAGAGAAGTTCAGCGATTATTTCGATTCTGCTCCAATTTTTAAAATACCTGGGAGGCGGTTTCCTGTTGAAATTCACTACACAAAGGCACCAGAGGCTGATTATTTGGATGCAGCAATTGTTACGGCTCTTCAAATTCATGTGACACAAGAACCTGGTGATGGTGATATACTGATCTTCCTCACTGGCCAGGAGGAAATTGAAACAGCTGAGGAGATACTTAAACATAGGACGAGGGGGCTAGGAACTAAAATTGCAGAGTTGATTATATGCCCAATTTATGCAAACCTCCCAACAGAGCTGCAGGCAAAAATATTTGAAACTACACCAGAAGGGGCGCGTAAGGTTGTCCTGGCAACAAACATAGCTGAAACTTCATTGACCATTGATGGGATTAAATATGTAATTGATCCGGGATTTTCCAAGATGAATTCTTATAACCCACGGACTGGGATGGAGTCATTACTGGTCACTCCCATCTCAAAAGCATCTGCAATGCAACGGGCTGGTCGATCTGGACGAACAGGGCCTGGAAAGTGCTTTCGGTTGTATACTGCCTACAACTATTACAATGACTTGGAAGATAATACCATCCCTGAGATACAACGCACCAATCTTGCAAATGTTGTGCTTACTCTTAAGAGCCTTGGGATTCATGACTTGCTGAATTTTGACTTTATGGACCCACCGCCAGCTGAAGCTTTACTGAAAGCCTTGGAACTGCTCTTTGCTCTGAGTGCACTCAATAAGTTAGGTGAATTGACAAAGGTTGGTAGAAGAATGGCAGAGTTCCCTCTTGATCCCATGCTATCTAAGATGATTGTGGCATCAGAGAAATACAAATGCTCAGATGAAATTATATCGATTGCTGCTATGCTTTCTATTGGAAACTCAATCTTTTATCGACCAAAGGATAAACAAGTCCATGCTGATAATGCGCGATTGAATTTTCACGCTGGGAATGTTGGAGATCATATTGCATTGCTGAAGGTTTGTGGTATACTTTTTCTTTTTTTTCTCTTCTAAAGTTCTAGTGATTCCAAACTGTCTTATCAATGCAAGTCTAAAGTTCGACTCCTCTTGGCAAACAATTCCTTGGAGAGATAATTGGGGGGGGGGGGGGGGGGGGGGGGGGGGGGGGGGTGTTAGGGTGGGTGTTACCAACTAGGGGGAAAAAAAAAACTGTCTTATCAATGAACTCTGGCGGGGAATCGTAACATTTATTTATTTTTGAAATCGTAACATATATTCTAATTAAATTGTCATATACCCTAGCCTGTGAACTAAGTGAAGACTTGCTTGGGTACGTTGAAACCCATAATTGTAAAAGGTTAGCTATCTTATTGTTTATTTCTATTCTTTCAGGTGTACAGTTCCTGGAAGGAAACCAATTTCTCGACTCAGTGGTGTTATGAAAATTACATCCAGGTCTGTTTTGACATATTTACACAACAAATTCTGGTTATGCTTTTTCATTATTTATGTTAACGTTTTTGGAGGCAATTTACTGAGACCATTGTAGTTTAGTGATAAGGTGCTGCTATTGAATCTAAAGGGAATTTGATTCTTATATAGAAAAAAGTGTTGGTTATAATCAATCCAGGGGCTTCACATTGGTTATGACCTTAAGCTTCACTGGAGCTGTTAAGGACGTTAGGTGCTCTGATCCTGGATGCTGACAGAAATTAGTCATTTTTTACTGAGATGTAATTTAATCAATTTTTATGGTTGATAATTAAAGATTTTGGTAACATGTGGTTTAACTGAGGCTATGGCCTTGGATAAAGCGGAATGGAAAAATAGGATTCATGTAGCTGATCCCAAGTAGATGGAAAAATGCTTTGTTGTTGTTGTTGTAGGGCAAAAATGTTGTAACTATATTTTTTAAGAACTAATGTTGATGGCATACTGTCATTTATGTTCTTTACTGTGAAACTTCAGTATTCCTTTCTTTTTGGGCTTCTAGACAAGCTTGCTGAATTGTTATATATGTTTGTGATTACTTCTTCTCAGGTCAGGAGTATGAAGCGTGCAAGAGATATAAGAGACCAATTGGAGGGGCTGTTGGAGAGAGTTGAAATAGAAATGACATCAGACCCCAATGATCTAGAAGCAATAAAGAAGGCTATAACATCAGGTGATAATATAACTAAACCATGAGTTTGTAATGATTTGGAGTACATCTTTTGGTGTCATATTAAATTTGATTTGTTTCCTTCTCTTTTTTCCCCTTTATCCTCAACATTTCAGGTTTTTTCCCCCATTCTGCAAGGCTGCAGAAGAATGGATCTTATCGAACGGTCAAACATCCTCAGACTGTCTATATGCACCCCAGCGCTGGTTTAGCACAAGTAAGCAATGCGTGTGATCAATGAGTGTTTATGTATAGAGAGGGTCGTGACCCTGAACCTGATAATGCACAAGCTCTGTTGTATATGCAGTAGGGTTTTTTTTTTCCCTAAGTCATATGCAGTAGTTTGTATGTACATGATTTAGGGTATTATAAATATAATAAATTATCTGACATTGAAAAATTTGTGAATCTACTGAGTTGATTAAACATCTAAAAATTTTCTGAATTATCTAGGTCATTGAATATTATAGCTGCATGCATCACTTGCTCACACCCTAAAATTACAATTTAGGTTATTATAATAAATTATCTGACATTGAAAACTTTGTGATTCTACTGAGTTGATTAAACATCTAAAAACTGAATCATGTTGGCATTGAATATTATAGCTGCATGCATCACTTGCTCACACCCTAAAATTATAAATTCTTTATAATGTTCAATAATTTTTTCCCAAGTAAATGCATGCCCACCCACAATATTGCCCTTAGCAGGGCTCGAACTCTGAACCTATAATAGGGGAAGGAGAGATTATACCATCTGGGCTAATACCCATTGGCTATAATGTTCAATTTGACCAACGTGTAATATTAATGGCACCCATGAGGATAATGATTTTAATTTAATCAAAACAAAGGTTACTGTTTTAGAGTCCCTTGCACAAGCTATAGGAATAAGTTACCCGTAAACCATTCATCGAGTCATTATGGAATCTATTCTGGATTTGACATGAATTGGTTAATTTTCCAGTTTTTTTTTCTTTTTCTTGAACAGCATTCAACATGGGGTTAATATTATTTGTTTTAACATAGTCGTATTTGACTTCATGCAATTCACTGGACATAGCAAGTATGGTAAATTTTCTGGTTTCGCTGGACTCTGGCATGAAAAAGACTTGCTAATAATGCATGTACTACAATTTGTGATATATGCCAACTTTGTACCAGTGCAAATTGTTTAATTGCCGCGTTTAGATTTTCATATTTTTCTAGCTGATTGAGTGTTGTCTCCAAACACTGTTTTGGTAGATGGTTTAGGCATCATAAATATTGTCTCTCCCACTGCAGACAATGTGTTTTCATATATATGTGTGTGTGTGTGTGTGTATTGTCTTTATGTTTTTGAGGGAATAGTGGATTAGGAGTTCTTACATCATTTGTTAGTGAGGATGGAAAAATGGAGGGGTGGTGTAGGAGGATGGATGGGAGAGGAATCCCTAGGGAAGGGCGTGTGTCCATCCCTCCTTTTGTTTGGTTGAATGGAAGGTAAAGAAATAGGTGATATTATTGTTTTATTATAATCCTAATTAGGTAAATTAACACACTTGAGTGAAGGTGAAAAAGTCTTTTTAATTTTATCCAACATGTATTCATTCTCTCTGTCCTCTTCCTCCCACTTTTGGATGGAAGCAAAATGGTAGCCTCGAGGGATGCTTGATCCCTCATCCCATCCTTCCTCTCCCTTCTACCACAAAATAGAAGCTTGCTCCTAGCAAATGCAGGCTTAAAGCTGGAGCTTAATTTCTTAGAGCATGGTAGACATTCACTTACAGGCAAAATAATATAGTAATAAGATAGAAGGGAAATTTATATTATGTGTAAGCAAAAAAAAAATTTAATGAGTTGATCCTGAAGCTGGAAGGCGGGAAAATTTGGCACTTTTCAAGATTCTGTTCTTCAGGATGATGTGTTGTGTGTGTACTCATGCGCCAATTTTGCATACATATTGCATCAGATATTGGGAACTTTATGATTTGATGTAAAATTCAAGAGTATCATAATTCTGTATGAATGCTGATGCTTTCTTTTATTTCCTTTTTCTAGGTGCTTCCAAGATGGGTCATCTACCATGAACTGGTTCTGACAACCAAGGAATACATGCGGCAGGTTACTTCTTTTTTCTTGTGCTCCTTCTCAAACATTAAACTGAACATTAGTTCCATTACGTAGTGCTTCTACACTAGTACTTGTGATCTTAGGCTTAAGACGGGAATTTAAATTGCAGATCACTGAACTAAAACCTGAGTGGCTGGTGGAAATAGCTCCTCATTATTACCAGTTGAAAGATGTCGAAGATCGTACGCTCTCTCTCTCTCTCTCTCTCTCTCTCTTTCTCTCTCTCTCTCTCTCTCTATATATATATATATATATCTGTCTGTCTGTCTGTGTGTGTGTGTGTGTGTGGGCACGTGCGTGTGTATAGGTGGGTGGGTGGATGGATGCAGGTGGGTCCGCACGTCAGGTGAAAAATATGAAATGATACTTTCATATGCTCTAGGGTGTACTGTGGTACATATTCTGTTTAAAATTTAATTGGCATTAATTTGCTTTTCAGTAACTGGATATCTACCTCAATTCTGGTCCTCTGTTCCAAAACTTTTAAGTTGTTGAGAATGTAATGATGTCCTAAGCTATGCATGTTCTTAAATGAAACCTATTTAAGTAAAAGATCTCTTGTGGAGTTTAAGGGGAACTTATGTTTAGTGGATATATTTTACAGCTCAGGGTTGCATGTTATTAGAGAGCTTGAAATACGTTGTTGGACCCTTTCATTGACAGCTTAAGCTTTTGGTGCAATTGATAGTTGTGATACCCCCTAATTTTGGAACACGGATTGATCAAGTCCGCGCACAAAATCAAGGGATATCAAAACAATTTAAGTATTTAACAAGCACAGAATACAAAGATGAATAATAAAGAATAAATAAACCGCTGAAGAAAACTAATAAATAAATATTACTTAATGATTCTCCAACAATTACAATTCGGAAATCCCATAACTCAAGGACCCCTTAAAACATTATCCAATAATCCAATACTATTTAAAAGTACACAAGATGAATAGACTAATGACAGTCTCCCAGCTGCGGATCCTCAACCTCGAGACTGGAACCTCTAATAACCTGAAAAATAAATCGTGGGTTAAACCCTACGAGCAAGTTCACTCTACCAGGCCTCTGAAAACCAATAAGCAGATCATCTCTGATCAAAACCAAACCTAATAAAGTTTTAACTTTAATAAAGCACGATATACATGTCTATATATAATTATATATACTATACTAATCACATCCATTAATAGGTTTATTAAATTTCCATACCGATTAAATAATTATTAAAATAATATTCATACCTAGACTAATCTACCATTTCATTTTATAAAAACTCCTTTGACCTTAATCCCATCCTAGTCAGTTGTTTAATCATTTAAACAACAAATTATAATAAAAGAAATACTCTATTTAATCCCAACCCGATAATGATTTTAATTGTTTAAATCACATATCCAAAATCCAAGTTTTGACAAATCATCCACGTCTTCCCCAATATTATTTTATTAATGTAAAATAATACACTAACCAGAAAGTACTAAACTATTCTCATTTAAGAATATCTAACCCTAATCCAATCCATACATACAACAACCATAGATGATATTTTAATCATCTAACACATAACAACGTAATTATGCTTTGGCAAATCAACCATGCCATTGTAAATATTTTTATTTATATATTGGCAATTCAACCATACCTCCATAAGTATATTTATTTATACATTGGCAATTCAACCATGCCTCCGTGTATGTATATTTATACATTGGCAATTCAACCATGCCTCCACAGGTATATTTATTCATACATTTAATTAGCAATTCATCCATGCTTTCCATATATGTATTCTATTCATACAAATATTTAGGTAATATATTTAATCATTTGACAATTCATCCATGCCCACACTTTAACCATGAATTAACTTTAAAATTAACAATACGCTAAATCATACATAGCCATCACATGCATATTATACGCATATCATTAATTTAACAACCAGCCTATTAAGATATGCCAAATAAGAATGATAATATTAATCATCTTAAATGATTTATATATATATATACCTACACATATGTTATTTAATGTATATATGTGTTTAACACCTTCTTTAATAATCCTTGATTATTTAAAATCAATATACATACATACATACATATATATATATTCATCCTTCCATACAACTCATAGACAAATTAAACTATATATACACATATATAAATAATTATATATATATATATATACACTTCCTTCCATAACAAATTATTAATTTATTATATTTACACAAATTAGTGCAACTAAATATGTCAGAAATAGTTTCCTTTAAATACTCCATATTGGTTTAAATAGTTTTCCGACACTTTCTCACTAAAACATAAATATCTTCTAGTATGATGGGAATCTGATAATGAAATTGGTACCATTGGAAAGAAGACGAAAAATCCTTGAATTTGAGCTCAAGAATGACCCAATTTCGATTTAAAATGACTAAGTTATGACCGTTTTAATTTCTAGTGTCGAATTAGGCCAACATAGTTTCCCACGCGCGCCCACGTGCTTACTATGCACTTGCACGCGCTGGATTCAAGCCTCTTTGTGTGCTGGTATTGGCTAAGCTCTTTCAGCTACCGTGAGCTCACCACACTGAATCCATCACTTCCTTTATGCCGCATCCAATGGTCATAAATGAGTGCGCAAATGAACACGCTCACACTAGATTATTTTCTATTAACTATAATAGATCTAAGGTCCAGATCAGCGAGTGCACCATCTTCTCATGGTCTGCAATACACCAAATAATCCCATAGTTGACCAGACCACTTTTATGGTCCAGATACACATGCGCACCAAAGTTTTATGCGCCGCGATGCACCATATCAATTCACATAAGTTTAATTAATCAAATGGCCCTAATTGGCGTATACACCCTATTATCCTACACCGCGCTGCACTGGATCAATTCTTTATTGTGCCGCCGCTCCACATGCGCCAGTTACCTAGTATATATATATATATCTATATATATAATTATTTTCCTAACAAATAATAGGAAAATAAATCCTAATAAATTCCTAAAAATATCAGAAAAATTCCAGAAAATTACAGAACAATTCTAGAAAATAAAGAAACCATAATTAACTCTCTTGGGTCACAAATCCACCTATAGATTGATTTTAAAATATACATAACACCTATATATATCAATTAAAATCCAATAATCTAAAAATCAAATATAATAGTTTATACTTTTTAATTATTCCGATCTAACCATAATTTTTAAACAAATAAATTTAATTAAAGCCTTGATACTCAAGGTGAAATCCTTATGAGTTCTAAGAGGAAAGTTAGAGAAAACTCGCCTGAAGGTTTCGAAACGAAACCGACGCTTTAAGCTTTAATTATCTCTTCCAATTCCGACGTCCTCCTTTTCAGATCCGACTTCCTCCTTGTCAGCCCTTCTTCTTCCTCTCTCTCTGTCTGTTTTATTTTTCTAACGTGTAAAACCTTTAACCCTAAAGCCTTATGTGTATTTTTATACACCTTAAATTCCAAATCCTATTCCAACTAGTATTATGAACTAAAATAATAATCTTTAAATAATTTATATCTATAAACATATATATATATAAATATATATTCCTTCCATAATTAACTCATTAGTTAATTAAATCATATATACTTATAAATATCAATAAATATATATCTATATATATATCTTTCCATAACAATTATTAATTAATTATATTTATATATAATTATATATATATATATATATATATATATATAAATATAATTGATACAAAAGTGATCATTTAAATAATTAAATAACCACGGACCTTCATTAATTAACCCAATAAGGTTTCATACAAGCCCAAGACCACATCTTTTGGTCCAACTTTCCTTAAGCCCAATCCAATTAATTTAAATAAATAAGATAATTAATTAAATACAGAAATTAAAATAACTAATTACATGAAGCACATAAACAAACAAGAATTTACAACTAAGTCATATAATACCAATAAAATCAACACACCAATAATTCAATCAATAATCAACCACACAAACAATCAATCATCATACATAATCACGAAATATAACTTAATTAAAATAAGATAATTAATCTAGCACTCAATAAAATAAAATAAATCATTGAAAAATAAAATAAAATAATTAATCCTAATTAATAAATCTTTTAAAATTATCGGGGTATTACAATAGTCTTGTCATGGATTCATGGTATTGTCATGGATTCATGGTATTAAAGCTTTGTTCTTGGAGTGGATTCATGGTATTAAAGCTTTGTTCTTGGAGGTATCAGGTTCAAGTCTCCATCTGTACATTTATTTGAGGATTTGGTGTACAAGTTTGAACTTGTTCTGATCTTGTAATTATTTGTTCGTCTCTCCTCGTGCAAGACAGGGTTGTTCCTGAAGGTGGGTTTTAGAGCGCTTGATTTACATTGTTGGGCCTATTCCTTGCGAATTTAAGCTTTCCGGAGCAATCTGTAGTGTACCGACAAAGCAGCTGGGAATTCTAATACTAAAAACTGTAGTTCTCCACAAAACTTTAGTGATAACAAAAAGTAGTGTATGAGAAGGGGAAAAATTGAAAGCATGGTCATAAATCACTTGCAAAACCTAGGATTTCTGTACGTTAATGATGGGATCTGATTCTTGGTGTGGCATAAGGGGGTAAAATCAATTCTTTCCAAACAAAGCTCTATTAGAGCTTTGGTTTTGGGAGGTCTTGTGGTTCAACATTCCATCTCTGCATCTGTTCTCGGTTTGGCGTGCAAGTCTGCACTTGCTCTTGTCTTGGTTTAGTCTGTTTGGCTCACAACGTGAGACAGGATTGCTTGTGAAGGAAGGTGTTAGGTAGCTTTTGTTTTAATTTTTTGTAGCAATTGGTAGGCTGATAGCAAAGTAGTAGTGTATTTTAATGGTAACAGCTGTAGTACTCCACAAAACTTTAGTCAAAACAAAAAGCAGTGCATGAGAAAGGGAATAAAGTTGCAGCATGATTATAATTACTTTCCAAATGTAAGGGTTTCTGTACCCTATGGTTAATGATGGGCTCTGATTATTTTGTTGGGCTGAGGGGGTAAAATCAATCGTTTCCAACCTAAGCTATAATTTCTGTATTAAAATGTGAAAATGGGGAAATTTTCAAGCAATGCTTTTCATATAATCAAGTTAAGTGCACCATTATATATATATCAAATTTCGATTTTTGTAAAGGTAAATGATTTTTTTTTTTTTTTTTCTTTGTGCTGTGGTGTTCTTTATGTTTAATACCCAGTTTGAATTGGAATTATTTGGTCATCTAGGTGCTTAGTTATGATATTAAATTCAGCAGCTGTGTCTACTTTATTTTATTATTTTTATTTTTCTTCCATGATTATATGATTAAAAAGGAAAAGAAACTGTCTTCAACTTTTATTTGATTGTTTTCATGTTATTTCACTTTGTAGAATGGGTTGATTTAATACCTTTTTTTATGGCAGCGGGAGCAAAGAAAATGCCTCGTGGAGAAGGACGTGCATCCTAAAAGGCCTCACATCTTGGGATTGAGATTTAGTGTGTTCCTGAGGAACACGATCTGGGATGCTGAGTGAGAGGAATAGGCAAATAGGGAAGTGTAAATACAATGTGCAAATTTGTAGATGTACTTTTAACCCAAAACAATTTTCCGTCATTAATCTTTCATACACACATTATGTTCCCACTGTAAAGGCCATCATTTGTCATTCTATTTATTTACCATTCTGTATACTATTTCCTTTTTTTAATGCTAGGCATGGTCATATTTTGAATGTAGACTGAAATTCGGGTTTTGAGATGTATGATAAGAGAATTTTTCTGGACTTGCTTTCATATGTTTGAGAGTATTGGTATTTTTAAAAGTACATTTTCAGTAAAACAAGGATTAATATGCTTCCTTTCAAATTTGTAATCTACCCCTACGAGGTACATTTTCTGAGTTTCTTGCTGTTGCTTCTAGTATTTCTATTTGGTATTGACTCGTGGTGTCCTTCAAAGGGATGGACACTTCGTACTTTTTTTCCTACTTTGCTTTCCTTTTCATTTGGCCCTATACCGAATATTATTCAGCATCTGAAACATCAATTGTGTCTTATCATTCATTAAGAGAAATAGATTTTTAATTTTTAATTTTTAATTTTTAATTTTTAATTTATTTATTTAAAATCCGAAACCAGCCTTCTCATGCGGCCAAATATATCCTCTGATTGTAGAGTTGATCATTGGGACTTTATCTTGGACCTATCAACCCTTCTGAATCTCATTCGTGCCAATAATTCTTCTGCAAACATCTAGATCTGGGTTCTAAATTTAAAAACATGATGGTTCCATTTTTAGGATTATGATTTTCAAGCTCCATAGCGAAGTTTTTAACGACGACTTCAAAAGTAAAATTGCATTAAACGTATTGAACTTCAAGAATTTTCCACTTAAAGACTGGCCGTATGATCCAATGTGAACAGCTGATAAGGTTGAACTTAGTCTTGTCCCCCCTTTATGTCACAATGGATCAACGTCACCATAATAATAAGGTTGAACTTAATAATAATAATAATAATAAGTACTGCAGGATCCAATAATTGGAAGGTCCATACTCATTTGATGGAACACACGTCAACGAATATTTGGCTCATTAATTAAAAGACAAAACATTCCAGAAACGAAATGACATTGATTGAGGGTCCATTGTGTTTTTTAGTCGTGACCCGGGACCTCATTTTTGGCACTGTGCCCATCAGCCAGACAAGGCCTTGTGAATAGTGGTTCCTGCCAAACAAGCCCTTACATTCAATAAAGAGAGAACAACAAAAACCAATCATTTTAATAGAATTACAATTTTATAGTGACTAAATCATTTCAAGTCAAAAGACTCGCAGATCTCAATAAGAAAGGGATAGACCATCTTCTTTAAACAAACACTTCGTTCAATCTCTACAATGGGTGGTTCTTGTTTCTTGTTACTGCTTATTCTCTCCATTCCAGTTGTTTTTGTGAGTGGTGACACTAATTTGATCCAAAAGACTTGCAAAAACACCAAGTACTATGACCTCTGCATATCATCTCTCAAATCCAATCCCACAAGCCCAAAAGCAGACACCAAGGGACTGGCGGTTATTATGGTTGGAATTGGAATGGCCAATGCCACAGCCACTTCCTCATACCTGTCCTCCCAAGGACTCAGCACCACCAATGACACCCTCATGAAGAAAGTCCTCAAGGAATGCGCCGCCAAGTATTCGTATGCCGGTGATGCTCTGCAAGCTTCTCTTCAGGACCTGGCCGCGGACTCATTTGATTACGCCTTCATGCATGCCATGGCTGCTGCTGATTACCCTAATGCTTGTCACAACGCGTTCAAGCGTTATCCCGGGTTGGCTTATCCACCAGAGCTTGCACTTAGAGAGGATGGTTTGAAGCATATCTGTGATGTGGTCTCAGGAATCATTGATCTTCTTGGTTGATTTGATGATATTGTTTTTATCCTTGAAATCTGACTCTTAGATCTTAGTTTGCAAGCTTGTTTGAATTGTCCATCCCTAGTGCCTTCTTTTTTTTTTCATTTTTTTTTTTTTGGGTTGGAGAAATTCGAATACAGGCACACCCACGCTCATACTCGGGGAACTAGGCCACTGGATAATACCCGTCAATTTCTAATGGTAGATTGAATTGCATATCAGCATTGGAAACTAGTTTGGTAGAATTATGTCCACTTTGGATTAGTTTAATTTAGTGCTTTTAAAAAGTAGATCAAGGTTATGATTTCAGAAATTTCCCACTACCAATAGTGTTTGTGTCATTTGTATGATTGCATGATTTGCATATAGTTATTTAAAATTCATATTACTTCCCAGAGGTAATAATAGATTTGCCAAGGATTGAAGAGTGCTTGAATGTGGATATACGGTATACCTCGGGAATGAGATATGTCCACCACCAGATTATCATTATACCATTTTTGTCCCTTTTGAATGAGGTCGGCAACATCTTTTTTTTTCTTTTTGTAGATACAAATAAGGTCGACCATCTAAATTCTCTTTTTTTACTCTTTTTTAATCAGGAATCATATCTTCTACTAGTTTTAATTTTTTTAATCCATTTCGCGGGGATCACATGAATTTTCCTTTTTCAATCTTTCTTATTCTAAAATCAGGTCATGATTAGGTGTAAGGCAGGCTTCTGCTATAATATATCTTTCAAGTTAAGGTAAGACAGGTAGCAGTGAATGCTCTTTGGTGCATCTCCATGTAAAACTTTATATATATAAATTATAAGTTCAAGCTTGATGTTGGTGAACATTTCTATATGAGCAAGCTTGTAAAAAATATAAGGCCAATTTTGTTCAGATTTTCTAAATGGTTTTTAAAAAATAATTTTAAATAATACATAGTAGTAACAAAAAAATTTGATTGTTTGTTCATCTTGACTAAGAGATGACGACTATCTGTTATGCAACAAAGAATAAAGTGGCCATGAAGATCGGCAAAGACTTGAAAATTTAGTTGAATTGCTCATTTCACATGTCAATTATTGATGGACATTAGTTATTAGACTAAAGTGGCCTAAAATCACACATTTTTAACATATATTGCATCAAATCGGTATTTTAGATTTGGAATCGAAAGAAATTTAATTTTAGTTTTCAAATTGTCGATTCGGGAAATAAAATACTCTCCTCTTTTAGTTAGGGAATTATAATATTCAATACTCCCAAATATAACATTAATTTTCATTAAGCTAACTCCAAAAAAAAATAAAAAAATCCTACGAGTAAAACCTGATTAGTTTTAAAAAATAAATTAAATCATTTAATAAAAGACTTATCTACTGCCTTTAGATATATTTTTAGTCAAACTCATATTTATCATCTAAAATTTAGAGAGATAAATTTTTTCATCAGTAATTTAAGTTTAACTTATCAGTTGGATGTTGGGATTAGCATTGTTTTTTTTAAGAGTGATTAATAGTCAAAATTAAAAGGTCAATTTATGTGTTTATTAATTTTAACATTAAAATTTTATTCTTAGAGATCACATTTTCTCTGTGCCGTTAAAAATGTCATAAAGATAACAAATAACCTAACTCCCAATTCCAAAATTTAATTTAATGTCAGTACTTGTAATTGTATAGTGGTAGGTACTGTTTTACCATTACCACTTTACCAAACATAAAATCGAAATAGAAAAAGAGAGGGAGGGAGTCTCTTTCTCTCTCAGGTTTGTTTCTCGCTCTCTGAAAGTTCTCTCTCTCAAAGTGGCCTCCAAAAACCCTAACCCTAAATCGGAAGGCGGTAACCATTTTCCTTGATTGTTGTAGCGATTATCTAGCTATCGACCGGCTAATCGTCGCTGCCGTCAATTTTGTTGCCTCCATTGCTGTATTATAATAGCTTAGTGAGGTACCATTGGTTTATTTGTGTTCTTAGCATGATATGTGTTCATTCGCCTTTGTACTTTTTATGCATATCTATTTGCCGTTTCGTATTGACTGTTAGGCTTATGCTCTTTTTATTTATTTATTTATTATTAGTTAATTAATTTCGGTTCACTAGTTTTGTTTTTCATTAATGCTTGGTTTATAATTTTGTTTGGGGAAATGGAGATGCCTTTCTTTCTCTCTCTCTCTCTCTAGATTTATAGCATTTCCTTTGAATTTTCTATGCGGTTTTTACATAAATTATGTATTGGTTTTATATCTTAGATTAGTATTTGAAAGTTTAAATGTTCCTAAGCCAAATTAGATGGAAATGGAGTTTCATATGGAGTAATACTAAGTTGCTGCTGAACTGTTTGATGAAATTCCTCAGAGGAAAGCTTAACTCTTATGTCTGCACACAAATCTGTACGTATGTAAATGGAGTGTCATATGTAGATTACCATTTGAAAATTTAAATGTTCATAAACCAAATGGAGTGTCATATGGAGTAATACTATGTTGCTGCTGAACTGTTTGATGAAATTCCTCAGATGAAAGCTTAACTCTACGGTCTACACACAAATATGTACATGTACATATGATTTTTGTGGACAAACTATACAACAAACTGCCTTCTAGGAAAAGATAGGAATCCTGCGACTACTGAAAAATATGAAGGACTTCCTCTTGAATCTTTCATTAATCTTTTATATTTTTAAGTGTGGGTTTCCTCCTCCGATACTTGATATGTGGCATCTGTTTATAAGATGGCCTGAACTATAACCACCATATAGACTTAGTCTCCTTTTTCCTGTTAACTTATTGCGTTTTTAATTTTTCCTCTGTCTCTCTGTTTACCTCAAACTTTTCCTATTCGCCGCTCTTTCTTTCTTTCTCTGTCACTTCCAGTTGTTCAAGTCATGCCAAGGGAAAGTAAAAAAGAAATAAATAAATCATCTTTTGCTATCTTGCTTACGGGAATGATACCATCTGCAATTCTGAGCCTGTAATGTTCTTGTGCTGTTATACTCAGTTTTCCGCTGCCTATACCATTTCACAACAAAATTTGATTAAAAAAAGCTCTGTGGTCTGAAAAACACAATCTGTCAGATGTATTATATGCCTTCGGAGCTGCTTGAGAAGACTTCCACAGATATTGCAACCCATGCTTCAGGACTAGTGTAACGGACCAAGCGCTTGCCATTTGACCCAAAAGTGGTGCAGGCCACCCGCCCTTATAAGCCCAAAACCCTCCCCAACCCTATTCGATGAGGGCAAGACCTCTGTGACATTCTCTCCCACCCAAACATGCAATGTCCTTGTCACATTCAAGCCTCTCTGCCTGGTGCCTAGCCATCCACCCTACTGTTCGGGGGACCTGGTAACAGTCTGGACACCTCCGTGTTGGCGCTTGGCATGATACCAAATAAGGGATCGGGTCTGCTCTGATATGACTTGTAACAAGACGAACGCTTGCCATCCGACCCAATAGTTTAATTTTTAGGTGGTGTTGCCTACCCACCCTTATAAGCCCAAGACCCTCCCCATGCCGATCCAATTTGGGACAAGATCCCTGTCACAACTAGCCACAAAAAGGAGCATTGAGAACTAAATCTACTTGAAATCAAGCAACACAAGGAACATGCAAAGCTTAGAAGCCATAAAAAAGATGATCAGCAGTGCTATGTGCTCCCTTTAATATTTTACTTTATGAACAAATTATATTTGTAGAGTGATGAGGCTCCAACAATATCACCTGAAATCTTTTTAGCATGTCTGGATTCGTCTAATCAGGTTATCCATCTTGCAATAGAGAGCCTTAAAATAGAGCAATAAAGTACATTCAACAGCATATTTGGTTCATAAATTTTATATCTAATACGAAGTTGAACGGTTTGATTTTTCAGAAATAATTACCGAACCTTTTTTGGACTGAACTTTGTATTGCTTCTCCTTTGCTAAAGTTCTGGCTGGTAGATTTTTGTTTTTTTAGTTCTTCTCTTCTCCATATTCCTATATCTTTCTGTTTGATTGACTGTGTTGTAGAATATGCATATGTGTATACACTTATCAAAAGAAGAATATATCTGTGTGTGTGTGTGTATTTAACTTTCATTTCTTCTCTTTATTCACTCAATTTAATTTGATTCATGGTCTGAACTCTCAGGTTTCTTCTGTATGGTACATTTAATTTAATTTTTTTTTTTTACATTATTTCTTTTCATTCAGCCACATGCTGTCCAGTATTCTGTCATATGGATTCTGAATCCTTGAAGGCACAAAGACAGCTCCACTTTGTGAAAGTAAGTTTCATTCTTTTCGAAACTCATTATCTCAGAACTAGTTTTTCCTTTCTACCAATAATTCTCTCAGAACTGCTTTTTCCTTTCTACCAACAACTCACCTGATTATACGTTTTCTTTTCCAGACCTCCTTTTACTTATCAAGTTATCCTCTTATCATTATTGTGTAACTTGGATTCTATTTTGAGCTTTTGGGTATTATTTAAGATTCTTATTCAGGTGAGTATTGACTCTAGTGATTAACTGTTGGATTCAGCTGTCTGTTTATCTAAGCTTAAAAAGAAATGTAATCTTTCGTTTGTATAACATGAGTAAGTACACCAAAAAAATTGTGTAACTAATATGTCTTTTGTCAAGTTCATGTTGCATAAAGCTAACATAAATATGTGGATGGAACGTAACTCATAACAGTATCAAGCTCATGTTGCTTACACCAAAAAAAATTGTGTTACTAATATTTCTTTTATCAAGATCATGTTGCATAAAGCTAACATAAATATGTGGTTGTATGAATCTTGAACGGAACGTAACCCATAACAGTATTAAGTTCATGTTGCTTTTTACCATCGGTGCATGATTTCAAAATAGGGGAATCGTACTATTTTCCATCGAGAACCTATTCTTACAAAATCTTAAGAAACCTGTTTTACATTGATCTTCTCCATCTTGAAAAAGTCACCACTTTGACACTCAAAACTTTCCAACCCATGCACTTATCGCGAAGCATGTCCTTCAAAACGTGAATCCCCATAGCCACTTCCCTTGTGATGCTTGATTTATGCTAGTTTGCTAGTTAAGTAATTGATGCTTGACTATTCCTCCCCTACAGGGAGTGTACACCGAATCATTATCTACTTAATGGTTTTTTAACTCCTCTTCCAACTCTAATCTCAACCGCCCCAGCACCCCCTCTCCAACCCTCGAAATTCATGCACATACCACCTTTTTCTAAATCTGTGAGGATGTATGTTCAAGTCTGATAGTGGTCATTTTGTGCAAAATAATGCCGAAAGTTAGGTTTGTCTTTCCTTCCAAGAACCTGTGTAGCTGGAACCAATATTGGTAACAAAAACGGTATTATATGCAAACACACATCCCGATTGGGACTTGAACTCTGCAACGCTTCCTTTGGGGTTGCTAGGCTAACAGCTGATCGTACCTTACCGAACTTTTAAACCTGAATTTAAAAAGCTCTTTGTAATTTAATCAGACACAAGTTAGCTTGGATGAAGACAGTAATGGTAATATTTGTATATAGATGGAGGACTTCGGACTTTCTGCCGAGAATCCCAATTGAGAAAAGATCGGTTCACCCACAAGCCTACTGGTCGCAACTCATGTCTGACCAAATTTACATTGGAATATGGTGACCATCCAAGACAATGGAGATTAGTCCGAAGACAACTTAACCATCCTTCATGTGCCCTGTAGAAAATAATTTTTACACCAGCTAGGAAGTAAATCAAATTTATCATTGTACATTTGAAAAGTTCTCCACAAGGCACTTAGTAACAAGAACGAAAAGACTTTTATTCTTAATTTTGTTACTTCTCATGCTAAGGTGACTGTAGCTTTTTTTTTTTTTTGTTGGGTGAAAATGTTGAAATAGGTATGGTGAAATTTGCCCACTGAATATTACTTTTTTTTTCTTTTTTTTTATTTATTAATTTTAACTTTGAAAGGGTTCCTTTTTGTTTTTCCAATACTATGCTTTTTGTTTATACGAATAAGTTCTTCACTAGATGTTAAATCCGCTAAGCATCCCTTTTCCTGGTGCTATTTGATCTAATATACATTATTGCATTTTCAGTGTAGGTCATATTTGGACTATTCAGAAATCTTCCATCCAATCTTGAAATGAAACCTAGAACCAATACAATGTCTAGAGCTCAGACGTCAAAAAGTTTCCACGGGGAGGGGCCAAATTGGGTTCTTATTGCAGGCGGTGCATTGTTAAGTACGATATCAATTCGGTTAGGGTACAAGCTGAAGCGGGTGTTTGATACAAAACAAGCAGATGATACTAGCAATAGTTTGAAAGGTCTTCTAACATGTAGAACATTCACTAATTGTCTTCTGATCTTCGTACTTGCTCTTAACTTTTAGAGTTCTTTCCTATTCAGGAAACGGAAAATCTACTGACAAAAAGAGGTCAGGGGGTTGCAATTCACATTCAAATGGATATTTTTGTCCCCAAGATGAGGAAGGTTGCTTCAATTACATTTCAGGTGTGAAACTTCTAGGTCCTCAATCTTATGTTTCTAAGGATCTGATGTCAGTTTTGAATCTCTCATTGAACTTATGGTTGTTCTTGACTACTTTTCAAACTGATAGCTGCTTATTACATGATATGGGGCTTGATTTATCCGAAGATGGATATTAATACTTTCTGTAATAGTATAAAATGCAGATTATTTACATTTTGTGGAATGCTGTTGTGTTCATTCTTTCTTTTTTGTTATTGTTCAATTTGTTCTATTGTTAGCAAAATCAAACTCGAGGTAGAGAATGAGATAATGAAAACAAACAATTTTTTAGTTTGAGCTCTGCACCAATATTCTTGACCTTTTTGCCTAAGATCAAGTTTAAATCTGTTCTTATCAATCTAATATCTGAACTCTGCTCCAAACTTCAGTATTACCTGATGTCTAACTTGTTATCTGTTTCTTATTGTTGGCAAGATACTGGGTAACTCTTATCGTCATTGTGGTGGTTAGTATGCAATAACTTTGCATCAAAATAATGCTCTGTTGCGGTCTACAATGAAGGGCAAGGGAATGAGAAATTGAAAGACTTGGCATGAAATTTACCATTAATCCCCCTCCCAAGGACTCCTAAGATATAAAAATAAGAAGTGAAAAAAAAAGGGAAACAGGGTGTCTGATATATTAAGGCTTATACTTCTAACTTGGTGAGGTGGTATTTTTACATGCTCTCTCTCTCTCTGACACACACAGACGCATTGATGCAAATCTGCTTGCACTCACATGCACATATTAGCGCATATGCTTGTGCAGCACTATGCTGCAGTTCTCATCAATTCTAGCTTCTTAAGGTTCTAGATTGTGAGGCGAAAGTTCGCATCATATTCCTAGGATTATTCGGGGTATTATGTTCAGTTTTTCTGGATTGTCAATGTGATCATGTTCTCAGTTCACAATTTAGAAGAATTTTTTTACATATACTTATCTAATAGGTTTTTTGGTACAGGAACTCAAGGTGTGGTGAGGATTAAGCAGCAGCCCAGCGGCCAATTGCTATCACAATCTGACATGGCACTCCCTCTGGTGACAGTGCCTGCTCCTGAAGTTAACAAAGAGAATGGAGTACTTTGGACATCCTCTCCTGACCGTCTTGAGCTGCCACAGAAACCATTCCACCACTCAAACAGCTCTGATTCGCCATGTGTCTCGGAATCTGGTTCTGACATCTTCAGCAAGCGAGAAGTGATACAAAAGCTGAGGCAGCAGTTGAAGAGAAGGGACGATATGATACTCGAGATGCAGGATCAAATTGTGGAGTTGCAGAGTTCACTCAGCAATCAGTTGTCCCATTCAACGCATCTGCAATCAGTGCTAGATGCCACAAACAGCGATCTGTATGATTCGGTAAGAGAAGTCCAGAGGTTGAGGAAGGCAGTGGCGGATCATTGTGTGGAACAAGTGGATTCAAACAATAAGCCCGCAACAGTCCCAATGTGGCCGTCTGAAGGAAGAAACAGCCATGCAAATGGGTATCTCGATGTTGAGAGCAATTCAGAGTTCTCAGTACAAGGGAGAGGAGACGGGAATAGGCTTGAGATGCTAAAAAGGGAAGTAGGTGAGCTGAAGGAAGTGATAGAAGGAAAGGAATACCTGCTGCAGAACTACAAGGAACAGAAGACAGAACTCTCCTTGAAGATCAAGGAACTACAGCAGAGACTAGATTCTCAGCTCCCAAACATTTTGTAGGCACTTTCTACTCTTGTATATTCTTGTTTGGTATCCTTTCTTTTTTCTCTTTCTTCCTTTTTTCTGTTTCTTTTCAATGTCTCTCTTTTCCCATATTTGACTTGAAAGTCCCAAATATTGGAGGAGCTTCATTTTTCTCTTTCCTTTCCTCACCGTTGTTTAGTTATATATAATTTCTTATCCTATTTTGTGTTCATCACCGAGCAAGCAGCACAATTGGGTCAAGCTTAATGCTTGACATAGTACATTTCTTTTACTACTTACAGAGGATTGAGTGTATGTATGTTGCTTTATTTAACAACCAACGAAGACAGCCAAAAATTTAAATTTTGCTAAACGACGTCATATGGAAGATGTTTAGGCGCAGCAAACCCTCATCAGACCGGGAAGAAGATGAACAAGTAGATTGATAGGAGGAGAAAGGTGAGCCAAACCTTCACAAGGCCGCGAAGAAGATGAACAAGTGGATTGATAAATTGTGTAGTCATGTGCAGTATGAAGAAGATTTTGTGCTAGTGAAACTCTATCTTACGTGACATGAGAGCTTTACTGGATGCACCCAAGATTTCTTGTATAAATTCTCTAATTTTTATTTTTTAATAGAATTGCGTGCATTACTCTGGAATGTTGAGTAAACTTCTAAATATCTAAATGACCCCTAATTATTGAATAAAATTGTGAATATACCTGCCAATTATTTTAAAAACAAACTACATTGACTTGAAATGAATTGTTTTGCAGATTTCTTTGCTAATCTATCAACAGGAGATATATGAGAATCATTTGAAATTAGAAGAAAATCTGATTTAAAATAGATATATATAAATATACAATGCACCAGCAGTGCTTGTACAATGATCCAAAATAACAGGAATAAACCAATTGACATCAAATTTCACCTCATCTTCAGTTATGGTTGTCTAGAAAACAATAAGTGGCACGATCTAAATAGGCAAAAAGGCTGCATTTATATTTTTTGAAATTGGATTCCTATTGAAATTTATACAGACAATTATAGTCAGTCAATGGCCATTGGAGTAATGCGCCTCTTGGCAGGCTTGTTTGAAATCGGTGTACTCGTTGAACTGGACAATGGTTGTTTCTCCTCAATTTTAACCGCTTCTTTTCCACTATCAGCATCTGGACCATCTTTTGTAGTTGCTTGAAGTGCCAGATCCTTTTTTTCTGCAACAGGGCTCTTATTCTGGGTGTTCATCTCTCTCTCTTCTAACCAGATTGAAACATATAATTTTAAGAAAATTAATTGGAGTAAGATGGGTAAATAAAAAAACTGATAAAATTTACGAAAAGAATAAAAGAAAACCTGATAGGCGAACAGGTGATCCTAGCTCATCTTTATCAAATTCTACAAGAGTACAGTAGCCATCTTGAGAGGACAATGCTAAATACTTGCCAGTAGGTGACCTTCATAACAAACAAGGGCACCCAATCAAAACCCCATCAAAATATGTTGAATCAAAATTAGCGTGGACAATGAGTACACAAGATGTATTCCGCAAACTGTATGAGTGCAAATTATACCATGCAATGTCAGTAATTGCTGCATAGTGAAGTCCAGCTAAGATTGCAATTGGTTGAACACTTTCGGTGTCATAGATGTACAAAGAGTTCAAAGTGACCACTGCAAAAATAAGCCGATAGGGGAGTTTGAAGAATGCAGCTGCACGTCAGAAAAGAAAGTTTAGATTATTGTCACAATAGCCAAACTTGTATAAACATCTCAAGCCAAAAGGTTTCAATTAGCACTAAGATACCTGGATTTGATCCCCGCAGGCTAAAAGCCACAGGACAGAAGCGTACTGCCACAACAGGTTTACTGGCACCAGGGAGAAGTAGAGAAGGCCTGCATATCGGAAAGAATGTGAAAATGAATGGAAAACACCAAATACAATAAATAAATAACCTCCTCCTAGTATGGATTATTTGGCAAATGGCCAGGATATTGTGAAATGGTAGAATAAATTCTTATAGTTGTTTTGTGCACTGGGAAATGAGATTACACTACGAAAATGGACCAGAAATTTATATAAAAAAGTAAATGAAATTCAGTACAACGAAAAAAGGAAACTTGGAAGTTAATTTCTTGCCTTGAAAGATCCTTTCTAGAAAAAACATATGCGGTGTTTACTGTTTCAGAGGCAGGAGTAAATTTATGAGAACCTGCAGTGAAAAAGGTGCTTATATCAGAGGAATTTTATAATTAAAAATGACCTTAGATTTCAGCTGTTAATGAATCATTTCTGCTGAGTTAGAGGTTCCGGGAAGATATGACAACATATTTCACTTGAAGAAAAAACAAATTTGCTAAAATGATCATAATTTTTAAAACTAGCTAAGCCAGCCAAAAATAAACCACTGGACACTTGGACTTGGATTGGCCAAAAAAACAGGCTGCTCACTTCAGTAAATCCTGCAATATACAAGTCTAATTGTTGCCAAAATTTCAAAGCAATACCATGGAATTTGCCGTCTTTGCACATCTACACTAACAGAAAATCACAAAGACGAACAGTAAAATAAAGCTTAGATGGTTCATTCCCCTCCCTTTACCAAGAGAAATTGAGTAAAGTACATCTGAACCACATCAAGAGGGAGGAAACTTCCACATCAGCAATCATGTCAAAGACAATCATATATCATATTCTAAATGTTTTGATCATGTAGAAGGTAGCACAAGATCATTCCTTGGGTACTCAGTGCCCCAAACTTTCAACAGCGAATAATAACCAGTCAAATGTACATTGGTGAGAAATAAATGGGATAATGATCCATGCACAAAGGATATTGATCAATTGGAAATAAATTGGAATGGAGATCTTGACTCCACAGGCCTTGGCACAATCCTATCCCCTGTACATGGATCTGTTTGAACCTTTGATCCAATTCGAACAAATCCAAACCTTACGATTTGGTTCGGTTCTGTGGGTCAATTGTTCTGTTTTGGTTCCGGAATTAGTGGAACTACAAGGATTGGTTCGGTTAATAGTTAAGATGTCTGAAATAGAAAATCAATCTAAACCAAACCGTGATACTTATAAATACATACACACACACATGCACACACACACACATATATATATATATGCCTATATTTGATTGGTTGGTAACACTTGTTACCAATGGCTCAAAACACAATGCCATAAAAAGCAACAGAGAATTCCATGGCTATCATAATATATTTTTTTTATATAACTAATGGAAAGAAAGTAGAAGACTCCCCTGTTTCATATTTAATAATTTTAGATGATACCTGCGGGCACAAGTAAAAATGATCCATCAGGCGACCAGGTTAATCTTCGGAAGAAAGATGGCAATGTTTCATCATGAAATAGATGGCTTTTAGCAGCCTGCATCTCAGACCGTATCTGAAGGTTATTACAAGTTACAGACCTATCTATAATGTACAAAAATGTAAAGAAGGCATACCGGTTTCTAACCTTTGACTCATCTTCCATCTGTGGTTCCACCTTTGTAATTACATGATGACAAACATAATTCATCTTCTCATTGCCCTTTGTTTTAGATTGTGGTTTGTTGACATAAATCCGGCAAGTTCGATCTGAACTGAGTGAAGCAACATACTTAGACAATGGATCCCATGCAACACCTTGAACGTAATGGAAATGACCATCCAAGATCTGATGGACAGAGCCTAAAGACCAGAGACATGACAATCAAAGTATGAACTAAAATTAGATTTTAGCTGATGTTTGATACAGTCATGTTAGTCCTTACCTCTGTTAACATCCCATATAATGCAAGAATTATCAACAGATCCAGAGATGAGAAATGCACCATCAGTGGACCACTCCAGGTCCAACACATCCTTACGGTGAAATCTGACAAAAAAAAGCCAATAATGAGTATAGGACAGAAAGAATACGTTAGTACTTTTCCTATTGTTTTTTTTTTTTTTTTACTTTGACATCTCATATGACGCAATAATTTTTTATGAGTCAGAAACAAGAAATGTGGTATCAGTAAACTGCAGGTCCAACACATCCTTGTGGTGTAAACTGACCAATAAAAATCCATTACAGAGCAGGACTGCTATTATAGTCTCTATTACTACAACAGTTTGCTCAATTTATCACACTTCTACTCTAAAAAAATGCCCAAATTTATCACACTTCTACTCTAAAAAAATGCCCAAGTTCTTCATACTACTGATATAGCTATTATATATTTCTCTCCCACTAATAATTATCCTATGCTAGGTTGGAACCAAAAAAAATTTCCATATGTCCATTACATTTCTGACGCATTTCTTACATGCCAGCCAGATTCCTGCAATGAAAATTTTAATTTTGAAATTTTCATCAAATTCAATCTAGCCCAGCATGTGTTCAGGTCTGTCAAAGAAGTGTTGTGTCTGATTGTTACAGCTCTCTAGATATTGAACTATAAAATAATTGATTTGATCAAGAACCCGTGCCTAACCTCCCAAAACCAACTCTGTGAATTTATAGTTTTTATGATCTATATATCATATTATATCTTAAACAAAAATGAGGTATTAATGTTTTGTTTCATTGAACTTTAATGTATCTCAAGCAGTCAATGGGAGGTTTAAATGTCAAATTGACACTCAATAAATAGGTAGGGTTCATTCAAGTGGCACTGTAGAGGGTTAGGATTCAGATTCAGCTCTTTCTGGCCCACCTCATATTCAACTGTCAGACCCCAACAATGCTCGATGTAGAACCAATTTGCAATAGAACTAGAAGATAATCTAACTAAAAGGCCTTACGATAAAGTTTTGAGGAACTTCCATGCTTGAGCAGCATCGATAGAGTGCAACTTCCATATGATCAGCTCACCTCCTATGTTAAGAAGAACTCAAATTAACAACACATTGTCAAAGTAAACAACAGAAGTTTCAATCATATATTCAATCAGAAGAAGGTGGTTTCCGATGAAAAAATACATACCATCAGCACCAGAGGCAAGTTGTTCTCCTGCATAGTCAAACCAACTTATTACTTCCAAACTCAAGTGAAAAGTAGTACTCAATTCCTTCTGAGAACCAAAAAATAAAATAAGAAGAAAGAAAGAAGCAGTTTTTGTTCTGAAAAAGCTTCCATAACTTTTCTTTTTTTTTTTTTGGTGGGTATGGGGGGATGCTAGCCAAATGATGCAAAAGTTATTCAGAGGACAACAGATTCACTCCCATTGTAATCTGGCAACAATATTGATTAATTTTCCTATCAACCAATTCTTTTAGGCTTGTAAGTTGTAAGCCTACATCATTTGTTCAGCTTTTTATTTATATCCTTCACACAGACCAGATTCACTTTGACAAAATCTTGATCATGGCTTTGGTGAATAAAAGACTATAGATAGCATTAACTCATTGTACCCAAGCTCAGGAGGATTATTTAGATGGTAGATGACAGATGTAAAGCATGTATTTGTAAATAAATTTAAAGCTAGGCAACTGGTATAGTTTTCTTCTTCTTAAAGGTAAACATAAGTTGGGAAAGGTTCAATAAAGATGAGAGATGTCTTTAGAAGTCATTACAGATATGCATATGAATGCAGTACCATGCATGTTTAATCATGACGGGCACTTGCATGCAATAGGATGAAACTTTTAATTGTTTAATTGGAAACAACCAGAGGTATCTGGATCTCCAAAGCTCAACTAGAGATACGCCACACAACAAGCATTTATACAGATATAAAAATCTCTAATGTAGTCCTGTAGTATCTTACATAAAAATTTTATTACATGAAAGGTATTTGGCAATGATAAAATGATGCTTCAAATTCTGAGTACATAACCATTAGAATCTTGTAAAAAAGTATAGCCTTGATCTAAGAAAAAATTAACTTGCACATGGAGTTATTATGCAGATACTGATAGTGCATTTTGAAACCGAGAAATCATCAGCACTGTAATTCACATTGAAACTCCAGATGCCCACAGGAGGGGGAAAAAAAAAAAGAGTATCAAAAGTTCATAACTCACATGATATGTATGCTGTTTGAAGCGGTGAGTGACTAAAACATATTTTTCTTCCATTGTGGTCTTTTTTCATTGATTTACCAACGTAAAGCAGAATGTGAATTACCAGGGAAAAAAAAAAAAGGTAAAGCAGATCATGTTCTACCTGTCCTTGTTCTCAACAAATCATAGCACATTTAGGAGCACAAGTGTGTCAACAAAGCATGTTACATTTGGGAGCATAAGTACATACTTACCAGTAGGAGAGAAGCGAAGAGCATTTACAGCAGAACCATGGTAAGAAAGGCTAGTATGATAAGAAGCTGTAGGGACTTTCTTTTGCTCTTCATCAGAATTTATTAGCCATAGCTGAGCATTTCAGTATTAACACAATCACAATTAGTCCCAAAAAAACGTTCCACTGACAAAAATCACTACTTTAAGCTGCATCAATTAATAGGACATAGGTTAATAAAAGAAAAGAATATAATCCCTGAAGATATTTTGATAGCTACTCATATGAAAACACAATACCATAATTCCATAAATTTAAACTAAAAGGGTCATTACCCAGTGAGGGTCCCCATTAATCGTGGGCGTTGGGATGGTCCCCATTATGCACAAAGTGTCTGCTCTCTGGATTCAAGCCCCCAGCTCGAGCATTTTACCATAGCACCAGACAATTACACAAAGTGACTAATCTCTAGATCCAAACCCCAACTCGATCATTTACCATCGCAACAAGCAATGGCCCAATGATAAATTTAAAAAAAAAAATTCTAAAAATAGCTTCAAAATGATATCGGAAACTAAAGCCACATATCTTCTTTGATTTCTCGAATGGACCCATTAATCATTATAGCCTTTTGACAAAAATTATCACCCTAAAACTCCTGAAATCTAAACTCTTATTATTTCACAGAAAATAATTTAAAACCAGTTGATTTACCAAAAAAAAAAACACAAAGTCATACTTTTAGCAAAAAATAAATAACAAAAAAACAATTTCTTAAACACGAGTATTGTGAATCAGCTGAGGAAGATAAAGCACAGAAAGACAGTACCTTAATGTCGAAGTCGGCACCTCCGGTGGCAAGAATTCCAGAGGGAGAATGGAAATCTAGGGTTAGAACTGGCTTGGTGTCGTGCCAATTGATCTGGACAGTGCCACCCCTCATTGCATTTAGGGTTTGTTTTTCTTCTTTTGGGTAATTATTATTGGTAGTTTGGAAGCTGAAATGGCTAGGGTTTTCTGATGGAGATGAGATAATAAAGGGAAGGGGACTGGGTTTTGGCGGGAAATGACCCAATTGTGGATTTGTAGCCCTCCCTTCCTACAGTCAAGTCTGTCACTAAACAATAGTAGTAATGTAAATACATGCGTTTAAAGTTTACAGAGTAATGTAAAATACAGGTTTTTTTCCCTGCCTCTTCAAAATGGCGAACCATTGGTCGCTATATTTTATCCTCCTAAAAAACAGGCGAAGTCTACAAATTTCAAGTGGGACCATGATTTGCAGTATGAGTGCTGGTGTAACCGATTCTGGTGAATATTAATATAAATTGACCGAATCTATCAATTTATGAAGTTATATAATGGTATACTATTCTTAAAAATAAGTTGCAATGTGTATCAATTGCTAATAAAATTATCACTCTTACTTTTTTTTTTCAGCATTTATTGTACTTTTAAGATGGTTATTGAATCATTGCTCAGAGTTAATTTTAATTTTTGTAGTGGCAAAAAAAGACTTCACACCCATATATATATATACTAGAAAAATGAACGTGCATTGCCCATGAGGAGAAATGCTTGTGAATATTTTAATTTTATTTTTCAAATAGAGTATATACATACATATATATATAAATTCTACTTTTCCTATATATATATATATTCTACTTATCCTTTCTAAAAATTGTCTTAGCAATATAACTTTAAACTAAAACAAATACTAAAAGTTACAGTAATGTTTTTTTTGATCATGTCAACATATTTGAAAAAAAAAAAAAAAAAAAAAAAAAAGTAGTACGTCAACATATGTAGGTTTACTTTTGCTAACCATATATCTAAAAAGGCCGAACTTATAAAATTGTAATAAATTTTTAAATAAAAGGTGTCTAAAATAAATAAAAAAGACGATAAGGCTTTTCAAGAAATTTGTATTGGTATATAACTTTTCTAAAATACGTCTGAAAAAGGATAATAATAAATTTTCAAATATTTTTTAAAATAAATTTCTTTTAGTGTTTTCAATCTAACGGTAATAAAATTCAAAAGTTATTTTTTTCTTTAACAGATTTGAATGTATGTTGTTTTTCATTGAAAAGTTACATATTAATGTTTTCATAAACCACGTGACATTACAATAAGGCTTTGAATCTAACTACCTACTGCTTTTTAATCCCTCTCTGTATACCTCCTATGTTTTTTTCTTTCCAAAAATTCTTCTCTATACAAATTTTTTTTCGCAGTAAAAGAGTTGAATGAAATATTTTTTTATAGTTTTATAACTGTAGGTTTGTATAGTGGTAAAATTTAGAATAGTAGGCTCAATTGAATTTAGGAGTTTTTGAGAAAGAAAAAAAATGACGGATGTTATGAGATGAAAAATGGTGACTTATATAAATGAGTTTGAACACAATCAATGAATGATGTTATGCTGAAATACAACAATGGCGTTGAATAATTATACTCATATAAGGACTCCTACATATCACCGATACCCTGTGTCAACTCCGAATTAATAGTAGAAATTGCTCTAGGCGGTGTCCTTGTGTGTGTTTAGATCTGGGTTTTCTAATGACAAACATATTCTAAAAATTTGTTTCTAGCATGTTTATTCTGTCATATTTTATTTCATAGGTGCTTTATTGTTTCTGTTTTGGAACTCCTTTCCATTTAGTTATTTAATTTGACTTAAATTTTGAATAGAACAATATTTGTTTTTGAGTAAATTACTTTTAAGGTAATTTTGAATTTTATGTCTCTAATCTTATTAATTAATGTTAGGGACAGGAATCTGTTGAAAAATAGTAGAAAGTCACATCTGTTAAAACTGTTTTCATTTTGAATAAATAATAATAATAATACTCATTTTAAATTTTGTTACCGTTGAATTAAAAATACTAAAAAGTCAGAAAGGTATGGAGCTTTGTGAATCCTTTACCATTAACTCACAAAGTAACATCAATATCAATTTTATATCTCCTTTTGAAAGGAAAGCCTTGCCAAGCTTCCGTTATAAAAATTAGCATGAAATTGATCCATATAGATTTTACATCCCAACCATAGAGAGAAAACCTTTTCCACTCTCGCGCGTTCTAATTGCTTGTCCTCTCTAAACATATTCAATTATCATCTTGTTTATCTCTTCCTAAGCACTGTCCTAACTTTCTAACTTATCTATAGAGCTTTGATATATCAGAAAAGTGACGTCTCTTATAATCAAGGTTAAATGAATTCTAACCAACGGATATAACTTTTACAATTATATTATAATTGGTGTTTTAGTTTCACTAAATCACACATAACTAAAACACACATATGGAAGATACGACGTTTCAAGTATTGTATTAAAGGTTTAAAATTTTTAAACCAAAATTTTAAGACTCAGACTGAAAAATAATACATACTTGATAGATGTTGTGGATGATTACCTTTATAGTTTTGACACGATATTCTAATTTCTGCATCCAAAATAATTATTAATTTTTTTTTTAATTCTAAAGAAAAAATGTCAAAAGACTTGGATGTTAAATTTGGCTCAATCTATGCAAAACCAGAAACAATGTTGAAAAATAATAGAACTATTACCTCTCAATGGTGCAACCTAAAAAAGATATAATCATAGGCTAAAAGTAAAAACAAAAGTTGTATGGCTTTTTTTATCAAAAAGGTTAGAAATTGGTTGGTATAGAATTCAAATTAAAACTTACCTTCAAAAAATGAACGAGTGTTGATTAAATTTGATCAAATTTGTACCAAAATTCAAATTGAAACATACCTTCAATAAAAATAAAGCTTGAGTCATGCGCTTCAATCAAATACAAATTTTCTTGAAAATATTTGAAGTTGCAATGGAACATAGAAGAATTTTTTTTTTTAACAATTTATAGGAGAGATAGAATGATAGAGAGAAATCTGAATGTCAACCGCCCATTATATAATCTTGAACCGACGTGTGTGTTTAGACGTCAAAATCTAGCCGAATAGATGTAAAAAAAAAAAAAAAGACGAAAAAAAAGAAAGAAAGAAGTTGCGTTGATTTGATGTTTAATTGAGAGAAACTCCTTTTAAGATAAGAACTCTTTGCCAAAAAAAAAAATAAAAGAAAGGAAAGTAAAATATGGAAAAAGAAAAGTGACGTTACTAAAGAGAAATATTGCAACTCTTTGAAAACGATAAGATATAATGTTTTTGTAAATTAAAGATATTATTTAAAAATGTATATAAAAAATCAAAATTGAATACACTTTTATAGGATATATATATATATATATATATGGAGACTATAACCCTTAACTTTTTACTTTAAAAATGATCAAACAAATTTGTAGTTACATTTATAAAAGAGTATGTAGAGAATAAAAATAATAAATCTTATAAGAAAATATGTGTATCCATCTTTATAGTAAATGATCAACATTACACCAAATAAATAAATAATTAAATAATATTAAACAACAAATTAATAATTTATGGACTGAATTTAATTTATGCAAGTCTGATGATGGTGGGCTCACTATATAATATCTTATGATATACTCATCCCATATAAATTGAATTTAATAAATGTTGACTGTTTTAAAAATTGGTGACATTATATTTCAACCTAGTATGAGGGTCCATAAAACGCGAAAGTCAAAGCCCACTTCCCAATTCAATAAAAAAAAATTTGTAACACCACATTTGAATCTAAAGCAACTTCACACGCGCTTAGAGATAATCCATTGACAAAAGTCACAAAACTCCTCTACTAACATGTTTTTCTAACTGAACTCTGATTTGTTGTGACCAATACCAAAACTCATTTATATTCATTATCAGTTCTCATCTAGATCTTACATCTGACGTGGGACAAGTTGCTCTTTTCTAGGGACATTTCAGTCGCCAACCTGTAGCTGCAAAAAGAAAAAAAAATTGTTGGCCTGTCCCCAACCCGTATGTGCAAAGAGAAAAATTTTGTTGGCCGCGAACATGTTAACACCAAGTTTGTAGCACACAATTTCTCCTATTTTGAAAAGAAATGTCAGAGTTCAAGTTCTCCTCAAACCCTCACATTTCGCCTGGAAAGTATTACTGTGTTTGATATTGACGTTTCTGAATTATCGTTTATCATTTGTTCATTTCCACCCTACATATGCCATATGTTTCTTACAGAACCTCTCCAACTAATAGATATTTTTAATTAATGTCATTTAGTTAAAAAAAAAAACTGGTTTGAGTGAAGGCTTGCTGTAATTTACAATTTTGAAAATGTCAAACACAACGGTCTGGTCTTCTATACTACGCAATTGCGTTCCTCTCTCTGCAGTCTCTCCAGCTAAACAAACCCATGCCCAGATCATTGTTAATGGCCTGCTTCACAACGTTACCCTCCAAACAGATCTCTTGTTAGTCTATTCCAAATGTGGCATTCTCCAAGATGCGCGAAACGTTTTTGACAAAATGTTCAAGAGAAACATGCATTCGTGGAACATCATGATCGCTTCCTATGTTCAGAATTCTTTGTTTTATGATGCCTTGAGCGTTTTCCGTTGGTTTTTGAAAGTGGGTAATCGACCAGATCACTACACATTGCCTCCTGTGTTCAAGGCATGTACGGGTAGGGGAGAGTTTTCATTAGGTGTCATGCTGCATAGTTGGGTGATTAGACTTGGATTTGAAAACTATGTCGTTGTTGGAAGTTCGGTGTTGGATTTTTATTTGAAGTGTAGGCATCTGGATGATGCAAAACGGGTTTTTGTCAACATGTTGTGGAGAGACACGGTTGTTTGGAATTTGATGATTTCTGGGTTTGGAAGGGCTGGTTTTCATGTTGATGCTTTGAATTTTTTTAGGGACATGCTTGGGGATGGAGTGGAGGTGGATGCCATGACTATCCCAAGCATTTTGAATGTCTGTGTAGGTGAAGGAGACTTGATGAGGGGGAAAGAAATTCATGGGCAAGTAGTTAAGAGTTCACTCTTTGATGGAGATGTTGTAATTGGGAATTCTTTGATTGATATGTACGCCAAATGCGGGTGCTTGTGTTTCTCAGAAAAGGTTTTCCTGAACATGTCTCAACTCAATTTGGTGACATGGACCACAATGATATCTTGCTATGGGTTGCACGGGAGGGGAGAGGAATCTTTGGTTCTGTTCAAGGAAATGAGGGACCGTGGATTTGTACCTAACAGTGTCACTCTCACAGCAATATTGGCTAGCTGTAGCCACTCAGGTCTTATAGAACAAGGCCGGAAGATTTTCAACTCAATAGGTTTACTTTATGGGTTTGAACCCACTGTGGAGCACTATGCTTGTATGGTGGACCTCTTGGGCCGCTTTGGGTATCTTGAGGAAGCATTCGAATTGGTAAAGAATATGAAGTTGGTGCCAACAGGAAGTATTTGGGGTGCCCTACTTGCTGGTTGTATAGTGCACAAGAATGTTGTGATAGGAGAAATAGCAGCTCATCACCTTTTTGAATTGGAACCCAGAAACCCTAGCAACTACATAGCCTTGTGTAGTATATATGATTCTCTTGGCATGTGGGATGGCATTTCCAGAACCAGAGCAAAGATGAGAGAATTGGGCTTGGTGAAAACTTCTGGTTGTAGCTGGATTAACGTCTCAGGAAAAGTTCACAAATTCTACCAAGGAGACCTTTCTCCTCCACTAAGTCAGATGATATATGAAACATTGGATGGAATAGTCATGATCATGATGTCAACTGAAGATTGAAGATATAGGAAACACATGTTTGACACTCAATAGCAGAAGCACTGAGGGATGATTATGCTTTTAACCCACAACCAGATTCAAAGGCTGTGAATCATAAAAGCAAGAATTTGTAATCGTACACTGTTTAATAGCTGCACATTGAGGGATGAATTATCTATGTTCATGCACACTTTCTGAGGTCAACTAGTTATGCTATCCATTGTTTTTGTTTCTATTCTTTTTCCTTTCCTTTTGTGAAGAATGAAGTTGATTCAATATTTCACACCTCCTTCGTATAATTTCAGGTTCTATGATACCAACCTCTTCCCTTTCTTGGCATTTGAGAGAGTTTGATGGCCTTTGTCAGTTTGTCTCCTTGAAGGTATGGTTCTCTCATTTCAATTAGCCAATATGGTTTGTTAATTATAAGGATTTTTTTTTTTTGGCTCTCACTGTGCAATATGATTTGACTATTTTAAATTTATTTTACTAGAGTTGCATCTCATTACATGGTTTCACCCACTCCAAAGTTCTTCACCAGACTCTCGACACTTCTCAATTATGGCTAATTTACTAAAATTTTGAAAATGTTAGTATATAAATTCTGTGAATATATCCATGGGAACTCATGCAATATTCTCATCTCATGCATAGTATAATTTATATGTGCATTCTCTAGACGACTTGGTTTGTTCTGGCTGGCTATTTTCTGCTCTAGTATTATATTAATCCTACATACAAGTGAATCAAGTCTAGAAAATCTGTTAAAGAATTAGTGAGAATAGTAATATAAAGTAGAAAGCTTCAAAATTTGTCAGCCATTGTAAATGTTGCGACTGTGTATTCGGCACCCTTTCTATTATTGAGAAAATTAGGACAGCAACATAATGGAATTTTACCAATTGTTAGATAGTGCCATTAAACCATGTGTTAAGGATTGAGCGCATTTGATATAACACTATGACAGACAAGAGCCGTAGTTTTTCAATATGCTCTTCTATGGTTCTATTGAATTTTATAAGATAACGATGCATTCTTATCATTCAACAATCTTCAGCTTATATTGATTTTTTTTTTTTTTTTTCATTTTCGATGGATATTGAGAAGATAAATTTTGTGCTTTGTCTATATCTGACCTGTTTGCTTCTTATACCCATGCATGTAAATAAATGTCAATCAATGCTAGTGGTCAAGATGGTGATGACTTGTCTCCAAAGTGGATGCTGCCATACCCATAGCTTGAGGATGATCTTCTGCAGATCAATGTGTGAACCTCTGCCAACAGTCTCTCTTTCTTGATCTCTTATTTAATACGCATATCCTCATTGATTGATAGTATAATGGCCTGTACTCCATGTGAACGTATGATGGCTTCCTGCACTTCCATATGTTCATCAATTTTTTTTAATTTTTTTTTCTCCTATTTAAAACTAGAACATTTGTATATATCTTCATCAATTTTCCCTATATCAGTTTCTTGAACCATTTTCTTCTCTCTTTGTAATAAAACAACATAGAGCGACTGAGAGGAATTCAAGAAAGAGCAGTCCGCCAAGTGAGACAAAGACAACAACTATGATGGTTGAACGGTGTCCAAGTTGGTGGCATTGGAAAAATATGAGGTGGTGGTGGTGGTGGTGGATTAATAGGATAGGATGGCGGCATTTCAATTGGTGATGGAGGTGCAATTAAATGACTAGATGGTTTTGCTGCTGGAGGTGGTGGTGGAGAAGTGGCAACACTTTTTGGCGGAGGTGGAATTAAGTGGCTAAGTGTGTTTGCTGCTGAATGCTAAGGTGGTGACATTGGTGGTGGTATAATGAGTTGACGGGATGGTGCCACTTTCGGAGGGGATGAGGGATTATGATGTGGACACACTTTTGATGGGGATGGAGAAGTAAAGAGGCACCAGTGGAGGAAAATATGGGAAGTTGTAGTCAATAGTTTTTTTTTGGAAGCCATTTCAATGTGAGAAAGCAAAGAAAGTTGGGGTTTGGTGGAAGAGATGGGCATATAGGATGCGCTATGCCTATTTGTAGTGCTGAGTAAGGGTTGAAATTCTCTATTATGTTGTGACCACTTCTAAGCTTCTAGGGACTTGATTCTCATGATAATTGCAATCCATTGCTTTGATAGTGTTCTGAGATCAGGGAGTCATTCTTCTATATATACACCTGTGATGCAAGTCTTATCTGGAAACCCAAAGTATTTCAATATTGAGAAATTAACAGCAATTGCGATTATCTTTGACCGTTCTTTTCTAGTTTGTTTGATCATCCAAAAGTGCAAACATTGGCCGGTATTAGATTAAAAGAAGGCGGATTGTCTCAATTTGGTGTAAAGATTCAAATGGCATAATAGATCGATAAGCAAATTGCGTTGCTGTGTTTTGGTAATGTGCATTTAGAACATATGTCATCCTCTACATTGATGATTGTTTGTGTTCTACATTACCTCATTAATATTCCAATTGTCAATTGTATGTTTATGTTCTACATTAGTTCTTAATCACATCTTAGTTACAAATTATCTAAGAATAGGGATGGATTTAGCCTACTGACAAGAGAAGTCAAGGTACATTACACAAATGTACCTTCTTTGGGTTAGGGTGAAACATAATGTTAGTATTGTATTACAACGAATGGATGGACCTGAAAAATTAAGAAGGAAAAACACTGAAAACTGTAGAGGTACTAGAGCAACCTTATGCAATGTTGTTAAACCTCCATGTCATGTTCATCACTTTTATATATCACATATCATAAATTAATTATTTAAGAGAAGCAGGTAGGAATCCAAAAGGTTTTAGAATTATATATATATATATATATTAGCAATGACTTTTGATTTATACTAATGAATTACTTGTATTATTGGAAGCCATGGAAGAGAAACACCAATAAAATGCAGAAATGAGTCATTTTCATAACAGAACTGTATTTTTGGAACAGCAAAAGGGCAGAAGAAAAGCAAGTACAACAGTGAATTCCCTGTTTTTTATGTACTGTTTCTGTTGTGAACAAAAATTGCATTAGAAAATGAATATAAATGAACAAAAAAACAAATGTTGCGCCTCAGAGGGCAAATTTCAGGCCCCTTTCTCATGAAAAGAAAAGAATTGCGTAGTCATTACTTAAACTTTGATTAATGAACAACACCTCAGAGGGCAAATTTCAGACCCCAAAAAAATAAAAAAATGGCAATTTCCGTTACAAAGTTGTTTAATCTCAACAGTACTGGGAACCTCGGTTAGCAATTTGCTGCTATCTTGAAAATTGCAGAATATTTTGGCTGCTGCCAGAGGAAAAGAATTTTACTTGATTAAAACGTACAATGTAGGTCGTATGTCACCCAGCAGCTTGACGAATCTGCACCAAGTAAAAAAGAAATAGTTCAACAAACAGCTCTTACAAGTAACATAACAAAATTTAAGGTTTATCTTTGACCTTTAACTACTGCTATTGCTATTCAATGGAAGACACCATCAGGTAGTATGTATAGAAGTCTTGGGTATGAAGGAGTATCTCAGAAGACCTCATGTTAAACCACACAAGATATGATTGGAGTAGAAGGAAATGCGGTTGGGAGGAGTTAAATATATAGAACGAAGGACAAGACACTCGGCCAAGAAAATTCAGTACGTGCAACAAAAACCAAATAATGAACAAGCTGTAGGTGCTACAAGATAACAAAAGGCAAAATAGAACATGGAAGGATTAAAATTGCAAGTTGGAAAACTAGAATGTTGGCATATATGGCAATATCGTGGATGGGAATGTTAGGGTTCATACTTCGAAGGGTTATTAGCCCCCAAGAAAGAAAAAAGATCCCAAAATATTATTATGAGGCTTTATCTGGTGCATTTTTTTGTTAAACTAAACACAACCAAAACCAAGTCATGTTTATAATGGTTCACTCAAGCACAGAGAGAGGAAGAGTATTACAAAGAAAAATACTTCTGTCTGAATCAGGTTAGAGAATTTAACTCGTACTCCATGGTGTGATATGTTCAACAGCAATTATGCCCAACACATTAGTCTCATTAAATGTCAAGGTGCACTTTGCTATTCACTTAATAAAATTCAGAAACTATAATTATTATTATTAATTTTTTTCCTAGTTGAAACAATAATTAGTTGAGCATAGCCAACAGATTCATTCCACATCACGAAGAGATAGAGATTTCTCAAAACCTGGGCAATAACAATTATGCTGCAAGTGAATAAGACTTACTTGATGCCTGCATTCATCGGAGTAGTGGATGCTTATTGTTTGCTAGCAGATATGAGAGGACAATTTCATTCCATGCATCAGGTACTCCAGGTAGACACCAGTGGCTACAATCAGACACAGATGTATTGCCACTCCAGGTACCCACATGTGCATCACTTCTGAAAGCTGACATGTAAGTTATATGCAGAACAGTAACAGGAACTGTCATATTCTTTACCACGTCCAATATGCTGTCTGAAAATAGGTTTTGGTCCCTCCCTCTGATTTCTGACTCAGGTTGATCGGTCACTTTGCATAACCTAAGAGCTGGATTACTGATGCAAAAGCGAAGCACGTTTACTAGTTTTGTTGATACAGGCGAATATGTAATTTAAGATGGATCCCAGCAGCAAGAGAGAGAGAATAAAAAAGTAACAGAATAAAAACAAGAAAAAGAATAAAAGTTGGAAGCAAAATGAGACACTCAAACACATTGTTCAACTAGGTAAATAAAATCCTGAATTATCAACCAATGCTGCAAGCCTGCAACTCAAAAACACTTCTGAGTTGGAATAAAGATAATAGGCTTATGATGACACGGAAATCAGTAAGAACAAGTAAAACTAGGTACAACAAGGAGAAGTCACACTTATGTCTTCAAAGGTATAGTAATTTCTATGCAATTATTTGAACCGGAACAGAGCATTGTGGCAACGCTGCAACAGTATATATCCAACGCACCTATCCAAAAAATAAATAAACAAATAAAAATGAAATTCAATGCAATGACTAATTGCTGAGAGGGTACCTCCAATGAGATGGCTCAAAAGTTCGAAAGAAGACATATGTTCTATTTGTGTCAATCATGGTCTGAACCCAAGATGCCCAAGTGACCAGTGCCGTTCTGAAGGCAGTAGCAATTGACATTCCAAGCTCCAGAGAATTACCAACCTGGAAATAGCATCCCCTACAGAAAACATGATTTAGAAGCCCACTTAACATGTGCCTAAGATTGATAAGATTGTTTCTCTGAAAATAAAAAATAGAACAGAGAAGTTCACAAGTTTCCAATTCTTTTCAAGTCTACTGGAGATGTTAGAGGATTTAAATATTCAAGTCACACCCTCTCTAACAGCTTAAACTTTTAGAGCAGATGGTAGTTAACAGGAGACAATATATTCAGTAATTGTTTGTAGAGAAATGAAAAACATGCAAATATAACAATCCTACCTTTTTTGGGACACATAGCTACTAAAATTGGATTCTGTAAGCTCTAACTCTAATTATGGCATGATAATGTAAGCATCAAATCTATATGTTACATAACTGTTTGAAATGTATGAATTGCACAAAGAAACCATCATTTGTCGGGGAAGGTTAAAACCAGAAGATTACTAGGTTCTTGGAGAATCCTTACCAAGGATTAACGTGTCCTAGTCTATTTTAGCCAACAGAAGATAGTGTTGAACAGTTTAAAATACTGCATATGGAACTTACATTCAACTATTTTAGTTTTTTGCAAAAAAGACGTCTTCCTGTTTGCACAAAGCATTCATTATTTATGGGCAAAGGCTAAAACCTGCAAACTAAGGATTTGTTTATTAGGTTAGTTTTTTGTAAAAAAGACCACATGCTCTTCCTCATGTTCTTCATATTAATTCTTTTAGATTTATGTGAAGAGGACCATATGTTCCATTAAAGACCATATCTTCTTTTCTCCGTGGGGTGAGGTGGGGAGCAAGACAAAACAAGAAAGAGAAACAAAACAAATAAAACTAGCTCTTAATATTCAACCCCGAGTCACACTTTTAGAAGAAAGAAAAGAGCCCTACTGTTTTTTATTTGGCTACCACATGCAGGATAGGCATGAGAATCTTTTTTACAAATGTTTCTTAGTGACCATAATGATGTTCTATGGCATGAGTATACTTATGATGCAGCTACCTGCAGCAATAGGGTGTCCATAGACTTGTGGTGCATTGTAGTATACAGTCAATAAAGAAGACACCATTCAAAGCACAAAGCTTTGGACATATGTGACATGGGAACTGCAACAGTAGTTTAGATCTCATCGCGGTCTTTATTTCTTGCATACTACTTGAAATTATTACTGTTCTAAGTTCAATGGGGGTTCTAATATGCTACTATTTTTATTAATATGTTCTGTATTTCCTGTAAAAAAAATTATTTTTTATTCATACGTTTATATTTAGAATAGGGGTTCTAAATATGCTACGGGGCAGCGGGCAGGTGCTGAGAGATTAATTCTTTTAAAGCTAAAGAGTTCAAAACTCCCAAGGGATTAGAGTAAAGAAGTTGAACTAAGATAGCGCTCACCCAGCACATAGCATGATGAAGGGTTGTGTCTTGGCATGAATTTTTTTTTTTTTTCTTAGTTGGTATTCACACACACATGCCTCCACCGAGGCTCGAACTCTTGACCTCCCTTTGGAAGTAGGGGTCTGGTATTGCTGGACCACTGGCCCGTTGGTTCTTGGCACGATTTCTGCAAATACCTCTGCCTGGATTCTTGAGTGGACAACTTTATTAATTTTCCCATCCATATGGAGGATCCAAGAATGCTGAGATGAATGATACATGTATCAAGAGGCGGTTACTTCCAAGTCTACACCAACTATGAATGCCAAAGAAGGCCCACCTTTTGATTCAGAAATAAAGAACTGGAAACTTTAGTTCTATTTATGATGAAACTCAAATTAGCATATCACTCTTCAAGACTCTCTTTCGTTCCTTTCATCTCATATTCGTCTTTTTTAAAACTTGAAGTACCTTACTAGTTCCCCAAAAAAATTGTCATTCTTTTCATCCCAAATCCCCCGTATAGTAGGGAAGAGACACACTATCACAAAATTTTATCCTCAGCCTTCAAAACCTGGAAAGTTTGAATTCATAAGCGAGCGTATGTCCTTGGGGGAAGGATCGAACTAACATTAGACATTCCCAACTGCAACTTACAGTTTCATTGTTCCCTGTAAGACATTCACCACAAGCTTACAACATTTTAATTTACCAGCTTAAATATAAAGTAAATGCTTGGAAAACCTTCATTTATTGGGTGCATAATAGGGATTCACTTCTTCTGAAGCCACAATTCAGGAAAAGACCTCGACTCCAAAGGGGAATATTTGTGCCAAAAACACCGTGGGAAAGGACAATAAAAGAGAGAGACCCAAGCGAAGAAGAGCATGAACAATCCATTTACCAGAAAATCAAGTGAAGGAAGATTTTATTGATGAGTTCTAGAAGAGATGAAAACTTATCATTGCTAACTTCACCAGCAAAAAAGTTCTGAAGCAATCCTAAATAAGAAAGACTGTGAAGATTACCTGTAGATCTATTATGTAACTGTTTACAGCAAGCATCCAAGTAAACAAAACTTCACAAGAACAATCTCACTGCCAAAGGTCTTCTCAAAACCCAATTGGACTACCAACCAAAACAAGTAGTGTAGAGTAAGAAAAAGACTTTTGTGAGTCACCCTGCAAGCTCTTCTACCCTTTTTCTTTTCTTTTCCTTTCTTTAACTTTCTTGCTAGATTAAAATCCAGCCATAACAATATTGCAAAAAGAGCTCTGGTCCTCAAAACCACGTTGTCAATGACCAAATTGCAAAGAAGTATGCAACTCACTTGTAGCATTTTTAATAAAATGCTCGACTTGACTTGTGGTGGCCATATGTGCAAATATTAAATTTCTAGAGAAAGGAAGGTTGGACACTTTAGGTTTGTCCAACTTGATTCCAGGATTTTTTGCGCTGCATAATTTATGTGTTGGGAGTGTCTCAGCTAAATGTCCAAAAAAATGAAATTTACTTAACTATGGTTACATCCATGAGGAGTCAAAAAAAAGTTTCTAGAAATCTCCATGACATGTCAATGTCTTCTACGTGTTTGAAACTGACACAACACATTTGTATAAGTCTTCTCCTTGTGTGAAAAATTATGTGCAAAATTTTCCACTTCAAAATAAATTAACTGTCACAGAAAAAGAGTAATATTTGTTCTGTATTAGAATTGTGATCACATTTTTGTAAAATCGCATTTCAGTTCCTAATTCAACTAAAAGAAGGAAAAACAAACAAAATCTAGAGGACCAAGTCTCAATAAGGTTGAGAATGTTTTAATGACAAAACATGTAAAAGAATGAAGGAATTGGTTTGCTACACCATTAACATTTATGAGGAGGTAAGTGTACACACGCAAACAGTAATTGGTTTGCTACATTTATGAGGAGGTAAGTCTATACATGCAATAACTTTCAAATAAAATGTATATGGTTCAATGTTTTATATATAGAAACAAGAGAACTTACGTTTCAAAAAGCTTCCCCGGCACCCACCATTGTCCGGAGTTGAATATAAGAACATCCGAATCAACCCACTTGTTGCTAATATCATCCAATTTGTCCAATCTAAGTGCTGATCTAACCCTCCTTGGACCATTTTCAGGAGCCCAATTGTGTTGCACAAGAAACACTGATCTGAAAAACTCAACAGTGAAATTAAAGGAACTGAACCTCACACCCAAGAACCTAATTTGTTTTGTTATCTTATTCCCATTAACTTCATAAACACTCCTCTTATCCTCGACCCCAGTCATAAGAAAACAAATCAAAGACTCCCACTGTGTTCTACTCATTGAATCACCAACAAAAACAATCCTTTTGCTTCGAAGCATTTCCAAAACACTCTGCACATTGAATCTTGGAATGTCACAATTCTTGGGCTTCCATCTCCACTTAATGTAATCTTCATCCCTCCGTCCGTTGCCCAAGCAATCGAATCCTTGCTCTGCAAAAGGGCATTCTGATGCATTGTACAATGGGTATCTGTCATCCAATACCCAACTTCCATCAAACACATTGCAGGCATCCCAAGAACCATCGGATTCGGAAACATAATACCCATGAAAGGAACGAGCTAAATTGGGGAGGACATATATGTACCCACCACCTAAGGCCAAAGAGAAGGAAACCACAGACCCAATGACGATGAGCACAATAAACAATCTTGAACAGCTATTTCGATTCACTCTTGGGCTGCTCAAACTCGAAACCCTACGGTTGAAGGACACGCTTCTATTGAAATTGTTCATCATATCTATAACTCATACCACCAAGATTCAGAGAAAAAGATCCGCATTGTATGAACACTTATGCAATCAATTTATATCGAAGAATCGATACAAGAACAACCAACCTATAGTTATTATACCAAAATCAGTTCAAATCAATGTGGACCGAGTCGAAGAGAGTCTCAAATAATCAGAAAAAATAGTCCCAGTAAAAGAATTTGAGAGAAATATACAAATAATTAGTGCGTAGACCATTAAATTTAAAGCTCAGAAGCAAAGGTACATGTAATCAACCATGGGTTTTCGTTGCAGAGGATCAGAGATTGAGAGTTGAACAAATCGCGTTGGTGGGTTTGAGAGGTTTGAAATGGAGGACATGGGAGCAGCACCTGCAAACAAGAAAAAGCCTGGGCATTTTGGTAAATCTGTACGTAATACAGTAATCATATATATTTTTTTTTTTAAGAAAAAAAAGTTGAAAAGAGAGACAAATAAATTAATGGTTGATTTATTATTGATATAAAAAAAGGATTTTATTTTATTTTTTTCTTTTTCTGACCATGGTTGTCGGCATTCTTAGGTTACCCAAAATCCACCTACGAACATTTCAAAAACTTTAAATAAAATTTTAATTAATCTTTGGTCTCATAAATCAATGTCCACCTTTCTATTTTTGGTGATCCTAAAATAAATATTCCCATTTTTATTTTTGATGGGAAGATTTTTTATCGTTCTAAAATAAATGTCTTACTTAAAAAGGAGTTATTATTATTATTATTAATTTTTTTGTAACATTACCAATATAACTATATTGTTTTGACCTTATAAAAAAATAAACATCACATATTTGTGGACCCACTACGAATATCAATACAATAAAAAAAAATATTAAAATTTGTGATTTTAAAAAGTTATATTCTCAAAAAGAGATATTTATTTTGAACGGATGCAGTAAATAACATATGTAAAAAGACAATTTAAAAAATAAACACTTTTGTAATTAATTGTTATTTTAACAAATCGGGTGATTTATTATTTTGGAAGAAAAAGTAATATTTTTTTCTTGGTCAATAATAGAATTTAAATTAAGTATCAATTGCATATTCAAATCCTCTCCAAATAAATAATGTCATTTGTACTTTGAATATAACAGTATCACTTTAAACGATAAATTTACTATTTTTATTTTTGATGAGTTTAAATTAATAAAATTTTACTACTACAGTGTTGAAATTCACATTCAATGTTGATTTCATATTATATATATATATATATATATATATATATATATATATAATATCCTACCTTCATGCATGTCTAGTCACAAAATAAAATAATATAAATTTAAAGAATTTTCAAAATAAATTAGAGAATTTACAATTATTCATACATATTTTTACAAATTTTTATCCATCAAAAATCAAAAACAATAATAATTGTTATATATATATATATGGGGTGTCCCACACTATTAATGAAAAATTTGGAAGGAATGAAATTAGTAGCGTGGTCCGCTATTGAGATAATTTGATGCGCATGTTTGAATTATGTGTATAATTTCATTATCTATATAATGTTGTAGGTGTGAACACATAAATACATACAAACAAGTTGTTTCCTTAGCTTGCTTTGTAAGTTTGGCTTATAGCCTATATATATATATATATATATATATATATATATATATATTGGTGTGTATATTCGATATGTATATTCTGTCCTTTTTCTTAACTTTGTTTTGATATTTTTGTTTATGTTAATTAATTTATATAACAATAATAAAATTATTCAAAATATTTTTTTTCCCTTTAAAATAGGTTGGTGGGTCTGACGGTTTGACCCGGACCATTTTATCCAATCCATATTTAACCCATTATAAACAGATTAAATATGGATCACAACTCATATTGACCCGCTCACATTTGACCCTGTCCAAACCCAACCCAACCTACCCGTTGTCACCCCTAACTAAAACACAGATCATTCCAACTAAATGTTGTTTCCAACTAAATTTTGTTTATGTACAAATTATAATACAACTTCATGAGTCATGTAATAGGCCCCCTTTATTTGTTTAGTTTTGGAATTAAAAATTAGAAAATAGTTCAAATTTTATATGCTTAATTCTTATCTTAAGATTGAGTTTAAAAAATGTATGAATATATTGACAGAACTATCTTTAATTTGTAGTTTTTTTATAGTTGTTCTTGAAACTATACAAGCCCTAGCGCATATATATATATACACACAGAGAGTCTATGAATCTGGTCAAAACAAGTCAAAGGAAAATTAAGGATTAATTATTTCCATTGGTGAAAAACTGAAAATATTTCCATTGGTGAAAAACTGAAAATAAATTTTTCGTAGACGACTGGATGACAAAATCGTATGTTGATAGTAAAAGGCAAGTGTAAAAAATTTCGTTGTACTATCACCTGAACTAGTAAAAATCAACCCTCATCTATACAAAATGTTACAAAAAGGACCCTTTTGATTATCGGATTAGATTTTTCGTCGTCCGTTGATTCAAGCGCCTATGTATTTTCAAATAATGCCCAAATTATCCTTTTGAATGACTATCATACCCCAGACAAAAGTACAAGAAAAAAAAAATCCTAAACTATCAAGAAAGTGAAAAAATAACCTACAACTATCCCGGATTGCAAATCAAACTCTGAACTAACTGTGATACCCTTCGAATCCGAGATATGGGTTGATCAGGTCCAAGCCCAAACTCAAGGGATATCAAATAATAAAAGTATTTAACAAGTATTGAATACAAAAGATAAATGACTAAGAATAAATAAAAGAGCGGAAAGAGAAACTAAATAATAAATCCTTAAGTTAAATAATAAATAATACTCCAAATGAAAAATATCCAAAACCTCCGATATCATTACAACTCGGGAATCCATCTAGTGGACCCCTAATAATATCCCAATTGGAAGAAAGAAAAAAATGAAAAGAAGATAACATAGATAAAACCCTACATCAGGTCGATAGAGTGATGATGACTGTCTCTGCTCGGCACGATCAAGCTCTAAGACTGGAACTGTCGAACACCTGAAAAATAATAGTGGGTCAGGCCCACGAATAAGTTTTACTCTACTACAATCCAAGCAGAGATCCGATACACGTATGCACCATAGTCAACTCAATAATGTTAAATAGTCCGTACACACACACACACACACACACACACACACACACACTAGAGGAACCTCACTAGACTATAGGGTTATCTCAACCTGAATAGTAAGTAACATGCAAAACGCATATATAGTGGCATAAGTACCAAGACCTACCAGGGTACACAACTGCACCTATATCTAGCTACACATCCTGGCGATATACACACCCTAACCATGATCCTGAGACTCAAGCTCATATCACGGCACCATAATTATATATATATAATCCGTATAATAAAATGTCATCCATCTAATAAGTGGTCTGACATGAATAGGTAGGACTTAACATATTAGTTAATCCGTCCCTAATAAATTCAAGTAAGCAGGACCTAACTTCTTTAGTTAATCTATCCCTAGAATGCCACCATCCCATATTGGTGCATTAACCCATACAAAGATGCATACAATTATAAATAGATCCATTGATCTCATATAGACATGATACAAAACATAAGTACAATCCTTGCATATTTTTTAGCAATAATAAAAATCTAGATAGCATGTATATAATTTGTTTTATACAAATTATCAGGCATCTCAAATAGACTACATAACATCCACAACATGATTAAACTATTTCAATTTAGTTGATTGATTTAAAACAGTTTAAAACAATATCCATAAATTTACTATTATGTTAATTATATTATTGTATATTACAATAATATACAATAATATTATTGTATATTATGCATTCCAATTAATTGTTGGGTTCAATAAATTCATTAAAATCATTTAAACAGACCCAACCGTCCTTAGGTACCAACCCCTATGCCAAAGACCTACACTGGACAACACAGGCGACAGTTACAAGAACCGGTCGACTGGTTTCCTCCAAGCGTCGACCGGTTTAAGCAAATCGGTCGACCGAATCACCCAAGTGTCGACCGGTTTGTACAAACCGGTCGACCGAAAACCTTAGACGTCGACCGGTTCCTGGGAATCGGTCGACTGATTCCCAAATTGGTCAACGTGTCCCTGCGGCTATTCGTCTTCTTCAGCTCCGGCGACTCCGTCTTCCTCCGTTAAAGGTTGAAGGCTACTGTTTTAAGTCCCAATCAACCCTAAACATTATTCTAGTCCTTTATGCATAATTTAAACAAGTTATAATCATAAATCATGCAACATAATTCAACAACATTCAAACATATACACATACAATTAACATACTGTATTTCAATTTTTAGCATGCATACATGGTTGATTTTTAATGATTTAAAGTTCCTGGAATCTTCCTAGACATGCATAGAACACAGACCAAAGAGAAGGAGATAGAAATAGAACTTGTCTTTGAGATTTCGGGTTAAAATCTCAATTTCATCTTCCCAGATTTTTCAGCAACTCTTAGCTGCTTTCAACTCCTCTGTTGCACTTGGTTTAACCCACGAACAACACCCCTTCTTCCTCTCATTGGTTCAACCTTGGTTCTTGACCAATCCTTCCCTTCCTCCTCTCTCCGTTCTCTTACAAACTCTCTGTTTTTTCTCTGTCTCCACTGTTACGTGAATAGGGTTCTTAAACCCTTAGCAGACCCAACTTATATATATATATAGTATAAGCTAACCCTAATCCCAATCAATTATTAAGTCGGCTATCTTATGGGAAAAGGAAAGAAAATAAAATATACGATGTATATAATATATATATATATATATATATATATATATATATATATATAACTAAATATATATATATTGATAAAAAAATTATAATAAAATATAACTTCCTTATATACATATATACCCATATATATATGCATAACTTCCCATGGATAATATCCATACCCATTAAGTGTCCTATCCAAATAGTCCATGTGACTCAATTGGATGGTCCATTCCTATTATCCAAAACCATTAAAATAAAATAAAACAAAACCAAATAAAAATAACCATTTAATTCCTGACAAATAAATTACAAGTAAGCACCTAACATTTAAACAATTTAACACACATCATTTAGCACACAATTTAAATAAACAATTTATTCCAAATAGTCACATAAACAATTAATTCAAATAAGCAATTTAACAAAATAACAAATAAATCAAATAAATAATTTAAAAATGTAAATTAAAATAATTAATTAAATACCAAGACTATCCTTTTAAAATTAGGGTTCTTGGAATTCGCCCTTACCTTATTCTAAAATGTCTGAAAACTGTGAGCGAATGACATCCTTCCGTTCCCAAGTGGACTCAGCGTTATTATGATGGCTTCACTGGACATGCACTAAGGGTATGACCTTATTGTGAAGAATTTAATCCCGGTAGTCTACAATATGACACGGTGGTTCCACATATATTGCATCCGGCTACAACACAATCTCACAAACATCGATGTGTTGATAATGATCTTCATCTCGCAGAAATTTTCGCAACATGGAAACATGGA